AAAAACTGAAAGGAACATATCCTCAAAGTAACAGCCTAACATGTCCCACTGCTGGGCAAAGGCCTCCTCTGTACAGGGCATACCACCACGCAATCCCACTGCGGATTGACGAACTTCACATATGTTCGAAATATTTTCCTCACGATGTTTTCCTTCACCGCTGAGCACGTGATATTTCAGCACTTAAAGTTAACAATTCTCCGTACCGGCGATCAAACTCAGTTTGCTCGAGTATGTTGAATTAAAGGCGAGCGCACGGACACTGAGCTATCACGGCTTATAATTATATCCTCATTAAATAAAAAATAAAAAAGGAATAAACTAAGAAATTTTACAAGTTTAATTATTTTTATTATATGTAATTAATTTAAAGATATTAAAATATCTCATTTCTACTAGATCATGTTTTTTTTACGTTTTTCATTTGCCTTAAACATTTAATCTCCGATGTAGTTGAAAAAAAAATTAAAAACGAATAATACTAATTACAACAACAGTCACAAGATCTAGATTTTTATAACGAATTTCGCAAATGAATAATTTTAACGGTAGTATATTATCGAAGTCTAAGGATTAACGTTAATGTAATAAATATTTCATGTATGTAAGGAAATTACGATTTGTTAATGCCGTCGGAGATGCCTATATCACAGCCTGAAGAGAGGCGGATGTAATAATAAAAAACAGATATATAACAATTAAGTGACATTGACAGTACAAATATGTGTTTTTTAAAAGCTACCGGCCAGTTCTTCAGCACTATCTGAAATGGTACGTGTCTTGGATATGTCCATGGGTGTCGGTAATCACTTAACATCAGGTGTACTGCACCTGCCACCTCCTCGTATAAAAAAAATTAGTTCCTTTAGTCTATAGCCACAGCCCAGATAGATTAATACCTAATATCAGTGGATGCTTCAAGACACTATCATAGTTTTAGCCCTCTTAATAATGAAGTAAAGGCTATAAAAGTAGTGAAATATAATATTTCGAATATATCATGTATTATTTCTTATACTAGAAAAGGGATTACCCGACATTTTATACAGTGAAATATATATAATCTGTAATCCTATCCGTCCGCTTACCGTACTTAATACTGTTTATAAATAACCCGTTGTTATTTTGTAATGTATGTTTATGGTACAAAATTTTAGATTTGATTAAAAATATTTGTATTTTACTTTATTTTTATCCTAATATAACATAAATAATATAAAAACCGCACGTTTCATGCTTTTTGAAGGTACTGATTTAAAAAATAAAACTTGTGCATATGCACTTACTTTTAAATCACTCTGACAAAATGTGGTGTAAAGTGACTGCAAAAGGGCGAAAATGGTTCGGTTTTGGGGTCTGGGGTGTCTACGACAGAAAGAAATTCCGAAACCGCTGTAGCAGACATTCGTATATACAAATTTGATAATAATAGCGGTCATCAATATCATCATGTGATGATTAATAACAGAAAAGTAAGAAAATAAGCCTATATTGAATAAAGAAATTTTGACTTTGATAGGAAATAGAATAAAATTTAACTGCTCTATCATGACAGTCAGTCGCTAAACGATATTCAGCGTCTGTCAAGTATGTATATGAGCAAAACCATTTATTCCCGCACCGGGTGGTTGTTCTTGAGAAATTTTAAATAAATAAATAAATTTTGTATTCGTGATATGCCATATAATTAACGCGTAATCTTGTTCTATCTCCTGCCCTTATACCAGAGTAGGCGGTGTCGTCACAACATGTCGTTGCCTTCTACTTTCATCTATCAATTACTGTCAAATTCATGCGCAACTCTTCAAAGAAATTCCTTACAATTTTCATACATAGTTTGTCCATGAGAATTTCTCGGCGTTATGAAATAGTTTCATTCTCATCTTAATTCCGAATTTTAGATGTCGCATTTTTATTCGTCATTACTACGTCATTCGACGACCCGAATGGCGTAGTGGGTAGTGTACCTGCCTCCTGCGCCAGAGGGCGTGTGTTCGATCCCCACTACTGGAAAAATATTGTGTGATGAACATGGTGTTTTTCTAGTGTCTGGGTGTTTCTATATGTATAATATGTATTTATTTTACAAAAGAAAAGTATGTTTATCAGTTTTCTAGTACCCATAGTACAAGCTTTGCTTAGTTTGGGACTAGAAAATGTTGTGTACAAATGTGTCCTAAATATTTATTTATTTTTAATATTTGATGTAAAGCCAAACGAGCTGGCGGTTCACCTGTTATTGAGTGATATGCACTACCCATTGACATTTGCAACACCCGTTGGGATGCAGATGCGTTGCCACCTTTAAGTAAACATGAGTGGGGGGTACAAACACTACCACTTCAAGCCGGTCTTCTGTTCTTCCCATTCGTGCAACATCGAAGACTGTTGCGATGCCGTACCACAGTAAACAGTATTCACTTTTTCACTTAAATTTTTTTTATGGGAAATAGCGGCAAATGAGCAGGAGACTCACCTGATGACGTGATCACCGCCGCCCATGGCCACCTGCAACACCAGAGGGCTTACAAATGTGTTGCCGGCCTTTGAGGAAAGAGTATGCTCTCTTCTTGAAGGTTCTCAGGTCGTAACGGTTCGGAAAGACCGCCGGCGGGAGCTGGTTCCACAGAGTAGTTGTGCGAGGCAGGAAATGCCTTGAAAATCGCGCTGTTGTGGAACGCTGGACATCGAGTGGATTTGCAAGAGAGCATTCGGTTCATCAGATGTTAAGTGATTGCCGTCGCCCATGGACACCTGAAAGGCTGCTTTGTCAACCTTAAAAATAATGGGCCACGGACTACTTTGCTCACCAGACGAAACGCAAAAGTATGATATTTCCGCTTCACGCAGGTCTTCTGTGAAGCCACGGTATTACCCCCGACGAATCTATCCATTTATGCAACAGTTGGAGGCTGGTACATAGCATCTAAAATTCCCAAAAGTTTATTTAAATTAAATGGTAACGCTTTTATCCACTGAAATATTCAGGTCATATAAATCTGTCTCTCATTCGCAAAAAGCCCGTCGCATTCTACGTGATGTGTTATTTTTGTGATGTAATGTGTGATGTGATGATTTTATTGCTCTTATTTGACATTCATTTTATTCCATTACTTAGTTACCCTTATCCTTATTAAAATGCACTCGGAGTCTCTGAATTAGCGGTCAAATCGCTTACTTTTCAAATAGAGTCACATTAAGTATTTTAATGTGCGCAAATGAAATAATTTAGTTCTAGTTAAGTGCTAAATGACGCCTCTGAACGCCAATGCTTTTCTAACGTGGGTTTTAACTATCTCCACCTAGAAATTGGTATTAAGAAGCGAAAGGCCTCTTGATATGTGATTTCTACCAATCCTCAGCGGAGGAATAAACAGAAGCTGTTGATGGCTACTGCTTTATCGCTATAAATATTATTACGACCCATGATAGCTCAGTGTCCGGGCGCTCCATTTTAAGTCATTATACTCAAGCAACCTCAGTTCAAATGCCGGTGCCGGCAATAATGAAACTGTTGATTTTAAGCGCAGACTCGCGTGCTCAGCGGTGAAAGAAAACAGCGTGAGGAAACCTACATATTTTCGAATTTATTTCAAAGAAGATATTCGATTGAAGTCTGTCAATCCACAATGGGGTCGCGTGGTTGACTAGGCCCTAATATCCCCTGTACTGGAGGCTTTTGCCCACCGGCAGGACTTTTATGAGCTGTTACTTTGTTTCCTTTTTTACTTGCTGTCTAAATGTGATACATTATTTATTTATACGATGATCTGATAACTTGTATGTGCCGTGTTTTATCTGAACTACTTTCCACCAGAGCTAGTTTGAGACTCCGCAACGGATGGTGAAATGGTGGTCGTGGTAAGCCTTATTGAATATTGACAGTAGATAGTGAACCGAAAGAATATTGACATAAATGTGAGCTCCTTTAAACGAGCTTCAATCGAGTTTAGTTCCTTCTCCTATATTATTGAAATTTATGAAGGTTCGGGGGTATAAATAGAATAAAGAGAATGACTATGTTAGCTTGACGTGGCTACAATTTAATATTTATTGCTCATTTCGATAACGATATCAAAAAAAATCTTTATTTTAACTGAGTTGTATCATAGACAATGGTGCTGTAAAAATTTAATGCTGTGAAGGGTAGAGCCTTACCTTGGATTCAAATGTTGGCCCAGTTGTAGGTGCCATTGTTAGTAAAAATTATGATTAAAGTGTGAGAGAGAGAGTAACAGCTATGTCTAGATAAAACGAAAGAAAGAAAACGACTCAAATTGAGCAAGCCCCAATGTTCTAATGAGTTTTGGGGCCAATGCATTTTTCTCGATCCGCTATTCGTGAGAATAGTTTCGGGAGAAACCTGTGGACCCGAATAACATTTTTTGTTATGTCAATTAGATAGTAGATAAAGAGTTATTCTTAATTTATCGCATATTGAACACGCTCATGATGTAGGTTATTTTTGTCAGGCATTTGATAATCCTTACCACGACATATTGATGTTCATTGTCTGGCCGGACTATGCCGTACAAAAAACTTAAGATTTTAGTTTAAATTGCACACATTTTCACTCTTAAGAGTAGAAACTTTGGAACTAATAGTTAAACTTCTTAAGAGAAAGTTTAAAGCTTGCAAAGAAGCTAAAATAATGTGTATAATTCTCATCTTTTCAAGATATTTAGTTATTTAATAATATTCAATGAGGTCTTAAAAGACAAAGCGAATCTGGCAACTGACGCTAAGCTGACAGTATTCAAAAATTTGCGCTGTTAAAAAAAAGAAAATTAAAGTTATTTCCCCCCACCATAAATCGCGACACGCATTCGATAACCTTGCAAGCGGCCGAGTGGAGCAGGAACTGATTATTGAAAAAAAAATAACCTGTCCTTTCTCCCGTAGCCATGGCAACGCGGGACTACAAGCGCCGGAAACTGAACTAGGAGGATGGCCGGCGCCGCCCATGCGCCGTAGGATGCGCGAAGCGGGAAGGCGGAGCCATGGACTGCTACATGCCCAACAACCCCCAGTACGGGCTGGTGGAGTACTGCCCGGGGTGCCACGGCCTCTGCTGCGACCCCCTGCAGCCCTGCAGCTGCGCGGAGCAGGTCCGCGAGTTCGCGGACGACGAGTGCTGCCAGGTGTGTGCCGAACTGGCGGCGCCATTTTTTGTCTGTATTGTTTTTAAAGCGAAGCACGTTTTCCTGCCTTTTGTTAAGTTTTTTGTGTAACATAAGCGCCGATTTAATAACAAGTGTCCGGAGACAGTGCCGAGTTGGGAATTAAAGTTAAATCGCGTACTTACTGTTTTGAAACTTAAAACAGAGTGAAAAACAGAGGGAAACAGGTTGAAGAGGTAAGGTTTGAGATGTGTAAAAATTCTCTTTTTTATTCTACTTAATAATTTTTAGTTGACTGACAATGACCTTAATGGGATGTTATTATATCTAATATATAAAATTCTCGTGTCACGGGATTCGAACTTGAACTCCTCCGAAACGACTCGACCGATTTTTGTGATCCTTAGCGTGATTGTCGGCCAGGGTGGAGAATCGGCCAACATCTATTTTTCATCCCCCTAAATGTTAAGGGTAGTCCACCCTTAAATTTTATTTTTATGTTTTTAGGCAACATTTTTTGTTTTTATTTTTTTATGACACAGCATACAAAAATATGTACAACCCTAAATTTTCACCCCTCTACGCAGTCATAGTCGCGGGCAGCAGCTAGTATTTTATATAATTAAGTTAGATTGTGTCTGAAAATTTGAACGTCTGATTTAAATTCGACGTCAGTATATAATAGGTACTATGAAACTCATGTCGAATAAATATCGCTAGTGATCAAACATGTGATAGATAGAATAATGAAACCGGACATTAACGATTAACTACAAAAGCTTACAGCAAAACAGTTATCTGATATGCGCTAAGTTTTCTCAACACTATCTCAGTAACTGCAAAGCGATCGCAAAACAATCATAATAATCCACAACATCGTTAATGATAATACATGATAATACTAAAACATGATAATACTATACTAGATGAAAAGTCGGACACTATAACATCGTATGTGAAATAGCTAGGCTGCTAAATTATCTTCAATAGAGTCAGGAGTCTTCAATCTCCGAGCCCTCGGGTGTTGCAGGTGTTCATGAGCGGCGATAATCACTTACCATTAGGTGAACCTACTGCTTGATTTGCCCTTTTCTTCGTTAAAAAAAAATCACGAATCGTAGTCTGTTACTTCGAATGCAAAAGTACCGGGCAATCATTAACTCTATCAAAAACCGAGTAATTATTAGTAAAATTTACACACTTAGTTCTTTTTAGTAAACTCAAGTACATGCCGTTTGATAATTAGAATTACATTATTAATATCATTTTTTTTTTCAAAAATCTTACGAAAAAATGTATTTTATCTATATTTTCCTTTTCACATTTTAAGCATCTATATTCTATCTTTTCATCTCAAGTGCAGAGATAAGCACTTTGAAAAACCAAATATAAATCAAAAGTCACCGTTTAGTAAAAGCCAAATATTTACAAACAGACTTCACAGTTCTTTCTGACGCATAGGTTATTCTGATATTCAGATTATGATATCAAAATAAACTGTGTCAGCGCTCGGATTTGCGCGTATAGAAATCCAACTGAGTATTTAAATCGATTCCTTTAGGGCTGGTCCATGCATCACTATCCAATAAACAATCTTCACAGATTCATCATCATCATTTCGTACTGTTTAAGTCCACTGTCGAACATAGGCCTCCCCCACAGGCTGCCACTAAGCCCGATCCTGAGCCACCTGCATCCATCGACTTCTCGAACACTTACACAGGTCGTCTCTGCCTCTAGTGGGGGGTCACTGCGATTGCCAATACGAGGCCGCCACTCGAGGGCCTTTCTTCACCAATTCTTATCGGTTCTACGAGCTATATGGCCGACCAATCACCGCTTCAGATTAGTGTTGATCGTCCAACACTGCGATGGCCAGTACGAGGCCGCCACTCGAGCACCTTTCTTCACCAATTTTTATCGGTTCTGCGAGCTATATGGGCGGTCAAATTAGTGTTATTGAGCCAATCGCCAGCAGGAGAACGAGAACTGCTGCCCGGATAATGGCGAGGGTCTGGGCGCGCTGAGCGAGCCGCTAGCGCCGTGCGATGTGAGCTTAGACCAGGCGGGCGAGGCGGGCTGGCCCGGCGACGACATGGGCTCCTTCTCGCTGCCGCCCCTAGACCTGGACCCGCTGCCCTCGCTGTTCCCGTTCTCCCCGTGCTCCGGATACAAGTGAGTCGCCTTGATCCGTTCGTATTCAAAACTGGCTGTTAACCACGGCTTCGCCCGCGCGGCCAAAGGGAATTGTCAATGTGTTTTTTTTACAGCGGAATATCTGGCAAATGGATGAATTTTTTCCTACTTAGTTGACACTTATCATTACCAAAATTTTGAACAATTCACACAATATCTTCATAAATTATAGCCTAGGTGTTGTGTTATTCTGATATATAAGCTATATTATTGTAGTTTCATTAAAATCTATTCAGTAGTTTTTGCGTTAAAGAGTAACAAACATCCATCCATACGTACAAACTTTCGCGTTTTATAATACTTAGTAAGGATTATAAAATTAGTAAGATAGTAAGGATAAAATTCAAATATCTATTCAATATAGAAGCATTACAGTATTGATTGTTCAAAAACACTACCACCGCATTCGAAAAAACCTCTGCCACTGAACCTGAGTGGAACCGGCGAAAGAAACTCAGCGAGACATTTTTACAAACAAAAAAATAACAAACATGTATTCTAAATGTTAAATTCCACTTGAAAGAGCCTGGAGCGATTCTTCATTCATCCATGCGTTCCTAGACCACTAACTAGTTCATCCACAAGTAAAGCTGGCTCTATTCACTTGTACATTTTTCGGGGGAGTTGTTGGTTGCCTTTTTAACTTAATAAAGAAAGCCTAGTCCGACTGTTCGCCTTCATGAAAACTTCCCGCCAAAACGGGCCAATGAAGTTCTCCATTCAGTTGCTTTTTTATGTTTTGCCACCTCAGAACTCGGTCATTTATGAACCGATTTTAAAAATTATTTTTGCATTGGGTTCAGTTTAGATCCCATGTTGGTTCTATATTAATTACTTTAGTATTAGCAGCGCCGGCTTGAGCGTAGAGTAACGGACGCTCTACGCGCCAGATATCAAGGTGCGCTTAAAGTCAAGTGGAAAAAATCTAATCTAATGATGAATATTCTTTATTGCACACCAAAATAAAATAAACAAGACCACAAAATTAATGTATAAATGATCGGTAAAATGGGCGGCCTTTTTACTAAAAGTAATTTCTTTCAGGCAACAGATTTTATTATCTAGTGACTGTAAGAAGTAGAAATAGAAGAATAAGCACATCGGTCACAAGTAATTTCAGTCGCAAACATTTTTAGGGCGCATTGTCTATACCCAAGCCCATTAAGGGCTGTTTCAATTTGTCTTTACATATTAGTAAACTTTCCGCCGAAATTTCACACTGACAATTCACTGTTTTTTTACGAATATGAAATAATGTAACACACACAAATTATCACCCAATGTGATGTGAAAAACGTCTTTTTAAATAGTTTGTCTTACATTTAAATTAAGCCCATGCACAATTATTTGAAGTATAAGTGAAGGTACTGATCTAGACAAACCTAATTAATTGTCATGAACATTGCCGCGTTTAAGTATAACGAATTAGATTTTATTGTACCACATTAAAAGAATAACACAATTTTATTTAAATCCTGATATGTAATTTTAGTATGATCCTAATTCTAATTTTACAATATTTCGTTATATATATATTAAAAATATATTAAAATTATAATATTTGGCTCGAGTATTAACTATGATCAAGTATGAACGGAACGTTATTCTAAGATCAATCGAGGGATTACACGTTGAAGTTATAAATTGCACGAGATTTTTACTATGTTGCTCGTATAGATTCGTTTCGGCATCGTAACAAAATTCTCCTCATCTACAGCAGGAATAACGGAGGCGAATGCAGAGAGAGAGGAGGCGGGGAGGCGGCGGACGTGCTCCTCTCTTTGAAACACGCGGTGGTTCACGGAGACTGCGCTTCGGAGAGCGTCCACCCACAGGTACAGTCGACCCTCTCGCGCTTATCGGCTCCCACTGGTGCTAAACAAAGATGGCTGCACGCAGCGCGTAAAGCTTTCGGAGTAGGGAGAGCGGGTGAATAGGTTATGCTGGGGCGAAAAGGGGCGTTCGGCTTTTGTGAAATAATTTCAATTAACGGCGCCAAAAGATTATTACGGGCTTCCCAATATCGTTGTATACGTAGTATAATGTTGTACCTCGGAACACCGCCGCTGAGTTTAATTTTCTTCAGTAACTTTACCTCCTTACTTTAATTAGAAATATTAAATTAGGTCGGGTTAGTTGAAAAACAAAGTTTCTTTTTCAATGCATTATTTCTCTCAGTTTCTTTTCTTCTTTTTTCAATATGAATAATATGATGATTTGGTAGGTATATATATCCGCAGGATTTTTTACTATTGAAAACTCCATGATTCCAACACCAGTACTTTTAAATTTTATTCAGATTTATTCAAGTCTAAATTTTCAATTCAAAATCCTTATATTTCCTAAAAAATTTATTTCAAGCCTCAAATATTATTCGAAGTGCATATATGTATTACTAAGATCGGGTCAATTGTGTATTTTTTTCTCTTCATTTTGACATATCACTATAGTTTCACAATGTTTACCTCCCGATATACCTTAAATCGGACCTGATAGATACCTGAAGTTATATAATTTTTTGTTGTGTTTCATAACTCATCCCAATCATCCATCATAAAGTCTAGGTCCTATTGACCGTCATCTTACGGAAGCAATAGCTCTGTTTTTCGTAATTGTTTTGAATTTATTTTATTTTATTTAGTTACAATGCGTAGTACAGAGTTCCTCAGGTAGTTACAAATTTGGACAATAAGTCATTTTAGTCAGTTTCTCTTTTATCCTAACAAGGTCAAAAGAGTTATCTCAGAATTGTGCGAAAGTTCAGATAAGTCCGTACCTAATCACTGTCTACACCTACGGTTGAAAGTCAAAGTCGAAATCATTTCTCCTTTAATTTGGGCATGTTATAAGCTCACGTGAATTATTATATTATTGGAACTGTCCAGAGAAAGCCGTGATAGCTGTGTCCGGGAGCTCGTTTTTATTCCAATATAATCGATCGAGCTGACTTCAATCCCGGTGCTGCCATTTATCATGCGCTCATCGGTAAACGAAAATATCTTGACGGCATTTTTTCAGTAAAATATTTATTACAATAAAAAATATTTTGAAGATTCGTGAAATCTGCAAATCCGCGATGGGGATCGCGTAATGTACGATGCCCTTATACCCTCTGTATGCATTTTCCCAGTGGTAAGTCTTATGTGGGCTGTTAACTTAACTTTTATTATAGAGTCGAACTAAACTGTGAAGAAATAAACTGTGGTTTTATTTTTAATATAACTCTATGTTTATAAGATGTTTTTAACTGATTAACCGAGGCATAAAATTGTGGTTCTTTCAATTCTTGGAGTAATGGAGTTCATTTTTTAAGCGCAATCGGCCTTTTTATATTACAACAATTTTATTGACATGATGATTCAGCGTCGTTTACTCATGCATTTATGAAATCTTTCTTCTGGGAGTTTTTATGTTGGAGTTTATAATGGTGACTCATAAAGACATTCATAAGTTCTTTTATATAATAAGATGGCAAGCGAGGTGTTGCTTCGCCTGATGTTAAGAGATAACCGCCGCTCATTGACATTCGCAACACCCGTATGGTTGCAGATGCGTTGGCTCCTTTTAATTAAGTAGGCCCAGGCTACCCCACTCACAGGGCCAGATTGAGCGGTCCTGAGGCCTCGGGGCAACAAAGGAGTGGAGGCCCCTTGCCCCAAAATTATTTTCTATTGATTTCAGTTAATATTTAATTTAATCACGTTTGTACAAAGTACTGTAGGTAAAAGTAAAACGCGAAATAAAATATGAAAAGTAAAGTTGTTTACCAGTCTGAATTTGATTATTTTTTTCCGAAGTCTACTGTTCCAGTTGTCCTCCCCTATTCCGGCCCTGCCCACCTATCAGAAGAAACGCAGGAGTGTAACACTTCCACTTCACCCCGGTTTATGAGGTCGTGGTATTTACAGGGACGGACCAGCCCATTCGTACAACATTGGAGACTGTTGCGTGGCCCTAGCACGTAATCACACCGCGCATTTAAAAATATTGCGAGTGCGTCGACTGACCTCCGAATCCCTCTAAAGCAGATGATGGTCAACGGCGGCGGGGGATACCCTTATTACGAGCACTACGGCGGGGGCCCCCTCTTCCCCACGATGAGCGTCAACGTCTCCATGAATATGACCATGCACGGGTGCCCTCCGGACCAGCTATGCTCTCAGGTACAACCGTAGACATTAGTAGTTGGACTTAGCTGGCGATGCCATTCAACGAACTATCTCTCAAGTAAAAACGTAGACATTAGTAGTTGGACTTAGTTTGTGATGTCGCTCAACGAATGATCTCTCAGGTAAAACCGTATATATTAGTATAATTAGATTTAGTTGGTGCTATCATTCAAGGGACGATCTCTGAGGTAAAATCGTGGATGTCAGTACAGTTGGACTTAGTTGGTGATGTCTTTCAACGAACGGTCTCTAAAGTAAAACCACTTGTAATTAGATTTAACTGGTGCACTGACTGTACAAGTATATTTGGCGTAGACATATTTTATAAGGTTTTTTTTATGTGAAAAGTTATCAAGTGGTTCACTTGATGAAACACCTGAAGACTTGCGGATGCGCTGACAACTTAAAAAAAGAGCCTCACTCGCCAGACGAAACGCTAAAGTATAATAACACTTCCACTTCACGGTGGTCTTCTGTGAGAACGTGGTACTTCTGCAGACGAGTCTGCCCATTAGTGCAACAGCAGAAGTTGTTCTGCGGCCTAAGTAGGGGTATCGATGGGTAATAATCAATAAACCATAGAAAAATGTGAATATTAAAAAAACTGCCATATACGAGACTTCTCCGCGCTTAGCTCGTTATTATCGATACGCTGTTTTGCAAATTATTGCATTTAGTCACTCTATTTTAGATGTTAATTGAAATCTATCTCATTAAATGTTTAATATTTATACAAATGCTAACTACACACGTTAGCCCACGTGGCATCGTGGCAAGAATGCTAGCTGTATTTCTAGCATGAATTATAGTTATACATAGCTTTGAGCGAGGAGCGAACACTGAGCCGAGGTCATAATTGTTACAACAATTTTATTGTGCGTTGCAAGTTATGTAAGGTTTCCACAACAAATTAAACAAATGAAAAATTGCAGACATTACATTATTTCTTTTCAAATTTCTCGACAATTGATACACATGTTAATGTGAACAGTTCTTTAAATTATTTGTTGTTTTTTTTTTAGTTTTTTAATTTCTTGTATATATCTACACTATCTACATTTTTTTTTTGCATTTGAAGCAATGCTTGGCGCATCCATTGTTATATCCTTTCCAGCATACAAACAATTTCGAATATCGTTTTACAACGATAATTCGAACGAGAGATGTCGCCATTGCTTCTAAGAAATTTAAAATGTAAGATAAAACAATGTAGATAAAAGACGTTAAGATTTTCGTCGGTGTGGCAATCAGCCGTTTAGCTCAGTGGCTAGAGCGTCAGGCCGCGAATGCCGAAGACGTGGGTAATCGAACCCACAGCGGCGACAATCTTTTCGCACTTTTTCTACTTGAACTTAAGGGAGTTAAAATACGTGCATTTCGTGCTTAACTTCCATTGTTGTGTATTACTGTCGAGCCCTAGATTTTAATCAATAATTAGGGACTGTAAATCTGATTTTTAACTGAATAGGCTGGCTCGAGTTGAAGTGGCACGCCCTAAGACAAAGTGTACAAATATTTATACTTTCGCCCTCCGCCTAGTCGGCAAGGCAAATGAAGATACAATAACATAAAGCTCGAAAGCGCACCGTTCGCATTTAATGTTGCGGATATATATGATGCGTGATGTCTCGCGTATTTTTATCACTTTTTATATGTGAAAAGATACGAAACGAGCTGGCGGCTCACCAGATGTTAAGTGCGTTGCTACCTTTTAATAAAGTGGACCCTGGCCACCTCACTCACCAGACGAAACTTAGAAGTATAATGTGAGTAAAACTTCACGCCGGACTTTTGAGAGGTCGTGGTACTTACTTCCCGCCCATTAGTGCAACAGCGGACACAACGGCGGAATTATCAAAGACCATAATCCCCCAGGTGCAGTGGAACCAGAACGCGTCCACGCCCTCCGTGAACGTGGTGTACCCGCAAGCGCAGAACGTCATTAGCCCCACCCCCTACCCGTCAGCCACGTACTCGTTCACCGCTGACTTCAGACCGCCGAACCAGTCGGACCCCCTGATCACGGCGACCTCCACCTTCAAGCCGATCCAACTGCAGAGCGCCCAGAAGACGAACCCCAACTACGCGCTGTTCCAGCAGAAGCCGGCCTTCGGCCAGAAGACCCTGGGCCCGGTGCTGAAGAGATCCCCCGCCAAGGTGTACATGCAGGAGGCGCAGAAAGAGCAGAACGCGGGGAACGGGTACACAATACTGAACCATCAGGGTCAGATGCACTCGCAGGAGTACGGGTACTCCGCTTGTGTCAATTCCTCGGGAAAGGTTCAGGTGAGTTCGAGGATAAGTCGAGCGGCTAAAATGATTCCGAGATGATGAGAAAATCTGTGATAGGCTATTGTAGTATTGATGACTCCAATGTTCGTTTCGGCGTCGGTTTCGATTATCACACGGGACAACTATTTGTGTGACCTCAGATAACTGATTCGCATCTGGGTTTTTTCCCACGTGAAATTTATGTTTGTAAAACGTTCTTACAACACAGGATAATGTTTTCCTAAAGTAAGGTCAATGTTTTAAAAAAATAAGTGTTTCCGAAATTTTTTAATCTGTGAGAGGCTATATGAAATTTTGGGATATTTTCTCACTGGGTAGATACATTATGAAATATTGGGATAAGGATCAATCAAACATAAACAAACACACGACCTTGTTTATTATTTGTTTTTATTTCAGTCCCTGAAATTAAAATGCTTTTCATTAAAATTTTGCGAAATATAGTTTGAATCGCACAGTGTCATAAGTTTTTGTTTGTTTCATTCTAAAAAATATGATTAAAACTATTGTAATTGTCACGGGAGTAGACAGATTTTAGTATCAGGGGGCTGCAAAAAAGCAAATTAGGAAGGATGTGCATAAAATGGCAGTAATATTGAAAATTGTTGTACTCTACACATACTTAAGCAAAACTAAGCAACATTAAACAAAAGTATGAATATTTCTAGGGTTGTTACCCCAAAACCCCTCCCTGGCTACGCCTATGAGTCGTTAACCGGTCTCGTTTCATCGACCATCGAAGACCAACAGGACTGGTTAGTGACCAGCCCCTCGCTTTCAGGTGGGCGCTCTGAGCGGCTGCTCCGAAGATGAAGAGCAGAAGCCCAACCTGTGCCGCATCTGCGGGAAAACGTACGCCCGCCCCAGCACCCTGAAGACCCACCTGCGCACCCACTCCGGCGAGAGGCCGTACCGCTGCGGCGACTGCAACAAGAGCTTCTCCCAAGCGGCCAACCTGACGGCCCACGTGAGGACGCACACGGGCCAGAAGCCCTTCAGGTACGCCCCTTGCCGATGGGACTGACAAACAATCCAACAGTTTACCAAATCGACTATATGTCGACGACACCAATGTGTTGAGTTAATACTATTGATACTCACGCAGGGTAGAATAAGACTATTGTACCGGTATTTATTTATATTGTAAACTGATATCTTTGAAAAAGAGCAACTGTTGAGTTTCTTGCCGGTCTCTTCTCAACAGAAACTGCTTTCCGAACCAGTGATACCTTACGAACCTATATGTATAATTTTTATGTAAAATTTGACGATTCATAAGAACGCGCAAGCGTCTATTTGAATAAAGATTTTTGATTGATTGATTGATTGATTGACTGAGCATAACAAAAACGTCGTGTGAGTGGGGTAGCCGGGGCTCAATGTGCAATAGATTTTCAACGCATCTGTAACCCTCGGGTTAGCAGATGTCCATGGGCAGCGGTATTCACTTAACATCAGGTGAACCGCCTGCTAGCTTAGAAACATTTCACATAAAAAAAGATCACGCAAAATTCGAGTCAGTAAAGAATTGCCGGTGTCTCATGTAACCTCTTCTTGAACGTCCCTGAGTCATACGTGATTTTTTTTACGTGAGACAGTGACAAACTGGCTGGCGGTTCACCTGATGTTGAATGATAACCGCCGCTCGTTGACATTTGCAACACCCATAGGGTTGCAGATACGGCTTCGGCAGTAGGTAACATCAGTTAATAAATAAGTATCTAATCAAATAAAAAAATCGAAAATTTGTTACCTAAAATTTTTCACAAGGCCCAATTGTTATCGCGTTTGGTTGTCGCCATATTGGATTTCGACTATAACGCATGTCAGTAGTGACACTCGCAATAAAGGCAAAATTCTATCTAAGTTATGATTAATGAAAAATAATCCACATATTATCTCTAAATAGAGTGACAAAGGATTTCATTATTGTCGTTTGCGTCGCGCAGTCGGCTAAAGCAGCCTGCGGAGCGTTATATTTTATCTGTGTGTTCAATCAACCATTCTGATGGCTCTATGGTCTTCCAGGTGTCCGATCTGCGACCGCCGCTTCAGCCAGAGCTCGAGTGTGACCACGCACATGCGGACCCACTCCGGAGAGCGGCCGTACCAGTAAGGAAAATTTATTGTTTCAGACGGTCCGCTTGGACTAGTGGGACGAATGGGCAAAGAAGGAAAATGGTTCATTTCAGACGGTCTGTTTGGCCAAGTGGGACCAGATGGGGAAATAAAGAAAATTAGCTATACTTTTGAATAACCATTTTCTTACTAACGAAAAACAAAACCGACTTCAAATATCTCGCTCTGTATTCATTTTATAATTGATTTTCAGGAGTACCCTAAGTATTTCCTGAGCCCAAAATCCAGTACCAATGATATTATATATAGATTATATGTGACCACATGGGAAGCACCAGCTTTCAAATAAAAAAAGAATCATCACCGACGACCCGAATGGCGTAGTGGGTAGTGTACCTGCCTCCTGCGCCAGAGGGTGTGGGTTCGATCCCCACTACTGAAAAAATATTGTGTGATAAACATGGTGTTTTTCTAGTGTCTGGGTGTTTCTATATGTATAATATGTATTTATTTACAAAAGAAAAGTATGTTTATCAGTTTTCTAGTACCCATAGTACAAGCTTTGCTTAATTTGGGACTAGAAAATGTTGTGTACAAATGTGTCCTAAATATTTATTTTATTTATCAAAATCGGTTCTTTCAGTCAAAAGTTCTGAGGTAACAAAATAAGAAAATACATTTGAATCGAGAACCGCCTCCTTTTGAAGTCGGTTAAAAGGAGCAACTGTTGAGTTTCTTTTCCGGTGGTGGCTTACGAACCTATATACAGCGTGTCGTTACAACCGTGACAATAAATTAACACACATATAGAGAATAACTTTATAAAATTGTATTAAACATTTACATTATTTAAAGATCAATATTTACCGAGTTATAACATTTTCCAAAAAAAAAAACAATTTTAGAACACCTTACGTATAAAACTGTAACGTAAAGTTCATTTGTAAGGGTCACGAAGCATATCAATTGGTTGAATGAATTTAAAAAAGATAAAACATACTGTTAGAAAGAGAGATTTGTAATGCGACGCTGTGGCAACGAATGAAAATGTCTCTGAATGTATGAATCAGTCAGTTGTAGTTGTATAGGATGTTTCGTTTCTTTTTTATTTAATTAGTTTGTTAGAATTTTTTTTTAATTATGGATTTTTTAACGTTTATATTTTTTTATGAATATGGGCAAGTAGCGTTAGACGTGTGTTCATTTATTGTCGCGGTTGTAACGACACGCTGTATATAATTTTTCATGTAAAATTTGACGATTCATAAGGACGCGCAAGCGTCTATTTGAATAAGGATATTTTTGATTGATTGAGTTATATCAGTCAGTCCGACGGTCCAAGTGGGAGGCGTAATTTTATGAGTAGGCAAAGGAATGGAACAGTTTTCAAGTGTCAGTTTTCCCGTCCGATTATAATGCGTGTGTCTTCACGACAAGAGTGAATAGACCGTTACTGCTGGTGCGTTTACCATCTAAAATTACATCTTGCTTACAATCAGGTGATAGTAGTCAATCACTAGGCAGTTTCTGGGCCAGAAAAATTATGATCACGAGATAAATCTCCCCCGTTTAGTACCTGTGAGATTTTGTGTATACGAACTTTATCTATGATCAATGGTGTACAGCGGGCGCAACCAAAAAAATATTATTACGAAATATATTTTGCTTCAGTTCATAGTTATTAAGCATTCAGTAAAAAAAGAAATATTCGTCACGGGTCAGACTGTGTAACAATGAACTCTGTAAAGTGTTCCAAGCGTCACGTCTGGAATTAATACCATAATAAAGGTGAAAATTCCGTTAGTTAGCTTGATATAAAAATACGGAATACGAATCAACTATTACAAATAGCTGTAATATGACGAATTAGTATGTAATGTAATTCTAAAAATACAACTTAATCCATCTTATAAAGGCAGCCAGAGTCGTCAACAAAACACGTAATGAAAAAAAAAAAAAAATGGCGCCATACAGAAAAATTACATGATGCGACATTCGGATTTTGAAAAAAAAAATATTGTTATTGTATGATCTTGTTTTATTAACCGACTTTAAAAAGAAGGAGGTTATCAATTCGGATGTTTACATATTTTTATATGTTCGGGGATGTTTATATATGTTCGGGCATAACTTTGTCATATATAGACGGATTTGCAAAATTATTTTTTTGTTCGAAAGGGTTTCATTCCGAAATGGTCCCATATAAATATATATTTCGCGTTTTGTCTGGTGAGTGAGGTAGCCGGAGCCCAATTTTCAAAAGGCTGTTAACGCGTCTGTAACCCTCGGGTAGAGCAGATGTCCATGGGCGGCGGTATTCTCTCACCATCAGGTTAACCGTCTGCTCGTTTGGCAACTTTTCACATAAAAAAAAAACAAGAGCCTTGTTAGATAGTAAAATTGTCAATTAATAGAATAAACTGTATTTATTTTAATGTGATAATGTGGTATGCGAGCTGGCGGTTCACCTGATGTTAAGTGATAACTGCCGCTCATGGAAATTTGCAACAGCCAAAGGCTTGCAAGTGCGTTGCAACCTAATGGATGTTGCACCTTTAAAGTGGACCCTGGTACTTTCCTGGACGGAACTGCCGATTGACAATTTTGATGTTCTAAAACCACCTAAACGATGCATATGGACTTTATTTTCGAACTATATTATAGACAAACACCTGTCACGTGTGGGAATTTTAACTTTATTAAAACTTTAAACAACAGGCACAGAAAATAAAACAAGTTGACAGCATTAGAGTGTAATTAAATGAAATATAAAAAATGTAGGAATGGCAATTAAATTGCAATTAAGTAACGTTTGAAAATTTCATGGTGTTACTGTGTCACGGTGTATTATACACGTATTTTTCATGGGTTTTTACACGTCTTTATTGTTTTGCTTGGGTACCGGGGGAGGTCCAGTAACTTTACTATCCAACCAGTGGTCAGTGGAGTTACTGTTAACCGACTCGACTAAATCTTCATCACTTCAATAGGTGTCGGTCCTGCAAGAAGGCGTTCTCCGACAGCTCTACTCTGACGAAGCATTTGAGGATACACTCTGGGGAGAAACCGTACCAGTGCAAATTGTGCTTACTCAGGTACGTACGCAGATTTCCACCATAAATACCAGATACCGGCAATATTAAGCCGGCATAAAGTGGAAGTATTTATATTATGCTTAGATAAATTTGGCTGACAAAAGTATACATACGCATTTGGCACAATTTGTTAAACGTTGTTAAAAGTGAAGCGGCGATGGCCCATGTTCCACAGTCAGTCTGAATCCACCAGTCGCGGATCGACAGACGTCACATATCTTCGAAATATTGTCGTTACTCTTTCGAAGATATGCAGGTTTCCTCACGATTTTTCCTTCACCGCTGAGCACGTGATAATTCAGCACTGAAAATTGCTTTAAAAAATTTCATTGGTCCCAGCATCGGGATTTGAACTCAGGTTCCTCGAGTTAGTCGAGCCCAAGCTATCATATCGCTATGACTCACTAATAATTACATCATACTAGACTTAAAAAAATAGACAGTCTGTATTAATTTCAAAAAGTATTTAACTAACTTTTTTTCAACATTCAGGTTTTCTCAATCTGGCAACCTTAATCGGCACATGCGCGTTCATGGCAACATCTCCGGAGGTGTGCTTGGCTGACATCTACAGAGGTGCGGTCGGCCGGCCGTATATATATAAATACGAAAATAGGACTCATATGAAATGTCCTTTGCCCAGCACTTCATAAATCAGAACGAGGAATTGTGCTAGGATCTTTGGATTTCATTTTGAATATATAACAGAATTGATCTCACAAGATATAAATAATTGAATCCGATGTAAAAATCATTCGCTACACTACCCCCTTCATTTTATTTTTTGCAACACGCACATTCTTAATAGAGAGCAATAGTATTTTTATAGTTTATTTTATTTTTTACCACAACATTCATGTTATGGCTGTAAAGTGGACTTGGCTTGACTTCAATTTAAAACAAAAAACTCACTTTACGGATGCAAAGAAGTTGGCTGATGATTCTGTATCTAAATTTTGCAAAATGTTGTAATGTTGCGAATATAGCAACAGCAAAAGCGCTAAGTTTTTTTCGGCCCAAACAGGTTTAAATTTAGGCAACAGACATAATTATGTTAAATATACTGAAGAATGTGGTTCTGGTTCAGAACAAAGACAATGTTGTCATTAGGCTGAAATTCATTTGCCTTCAATTATCTTTATTCTCAACGTATTTATATATTTTTATTGTAATAAAACTGCATGCCTACTTATTTGAACATGCAAAGAAAAATTTAAATCCGACAAAGTCTGCATTTTGCCACGGTCCTATTTATAGGTCTTGCCACTCAATCCAATTCCAATAGTAAGAGCTGACCAATGTTAAAGAAAATCTAGATGGCGCTGTGATCGAGATGCCTTAGCCTCGATAGCGTACATTTTTTAAATGTAATAAGGTTTAATTTACACAATGTTTGAGTCGTTCACATTATCGTAGTTTAAGATCGTTTGTTTTGTTGGTAAATGCGCATTTTTACGCCCCAGGGGTTGAGGCATACGCCCGGTTTAAAAAAGGGTTGAATTGATCTTTCTGATTATTAAGAAAATCATTCTGATCAATTCAGAGAGTTTAACAATACTTTTCGCAACACGATAACATTTGAAAAGCCATTTGGCAGCTGGTTAGTTAACTTTGTATTTTGTATTAATTGATGTTTTTGCTTTCAGTCCCGAGACTATTAAAGCTTCATCTGACGCAGAACCTGTGGGTTAGTCAGAGCCCACGGGTTTGGGTTACTTTACTTCTACGATGACCACGCCCGGTTTCTGAAACACTGATCATCGTATATGTCAACTAATCAGCTGTCAAATAAATTTCAAATTTCATTTAAGTTGCCAAAAGGATGTTTAAACTCTTGGAATTGATCATTCTGATCATAAATAAGATCATTCTGGTCAATTCAGAGAATTTAACCATCCTTTTGGTACCTAAATTGTAATTTGAAATCCATTTGACAGCTGATTAGTTGACATCTACGATGATCAGTGTTTCAGAAACCGGGCGTAAGTGTATCAGAAACCGAGCGTTGGATTATTGACACGTTGAGACCCACGTCGGAATTCAAAGTTGCAAGATCTGTATGTAAGGTCGAATTTAATATACACATTTCGCATGTACAAAGGGAAGGAAGCAATGAAATCACAATTTTTTTAATTAAACTTGGTGTAATTATGGTGATGTATCAACTGTTAAAGTTGCTACACAGATATGGAAGAGTTGCTAACGCATGAGTTGCTATGAGCCGAATATTCGGCTCATAGCAACTCATTACACAACAAAATTTTTGATGATGAAACATATTCATTGATGGTTATTTTAGAATTTTTCTGTTATAATAGGTACATGTCGATTGTGATTCATCGTTAAGTAGTTGCTCATAAGTGAATAAAAATGGGAAATAATGGTTTTTTAAGTTAATGAATATTCCGATTTGATAATTATGTATTTTTTATATTGGACATGTTTATGAGAAGGCTGGTTTTTAAAGTTGTTAAAATTCACATTTTCTTTACTTCGTTCAGATTTTTATTTCAAGTGTTGTGAATTCCGAAAAGCCACTCTTGTTAACAGACGAAACTTATAATTGTAAATGTTTCTTACTGCTTTTTACAATAGACGATCTTACAAGTAAAACAAATTAATTAAATCTTGCGATCCAGGTAGTAGATATTAGAAATTTGTTGGAGTTATGAATTATTAAAACTTCAGCAATACTACATTACGATCAATTGTGAGAATTGTTAGTTTGTAATAAACTATCGATGTACATAGGAAAGGGATGATTTTATGTAAATAGTGTTATAACATAGTACTAGATAAATAATTATTGAATTTTCACGTTGTGTTTCTCTAGTCAACCTTGTACGTCTTAAATATTTTGCTATTCGTATAAATTGATCATATTTTATCTCTGTCTAATTTGTACAGGAAACAGAGATGTAACATAGATAATAGGAAGATGAAATTCTGATTAGTATAAGTACCACCGCACGATCAGTATTATTATGTAAAGTAACATATAACTGTGTAATTTATGTTGTAAGATAAAAATAAATAAAGTAACATGTAAATAAAAAAAATGTGTGTCATTTACTTTATAAAAGAAGAGACCCAAAATAGTAACCGAAATTAGTTTTGAAGGAGAATAAAAGCAATTTGGTCTTGCGAATTTCTATAATAGCATCTAGCAGACAACTAGATAAATATGACTTACAACATCCAAGTCCTTTCAAAATTTCAACATATTAGCGATAAGAGTAAAAATTATTGATTTCCAAATATCTTATATCGTAATACTATTCTAAGTCAGTACCTATATAGTATATATGTACATCCAGTATATATATATCATCTATGGTTTCAACCTAACATATATTGTCAATTTTATGCCATTTGACATTGTTTTGAACTTTTATGTGGTATTCTTGTAAAGGCATTGTTTTAAACTAGCATAAAAAGTACCCTACTAGCATTTCAAGGTACCTTTGTAAAAACCGTTCATTATTAAAATTAATACAAAGTTTTGTTTACGTTGGTTAGTGTTTAAATACTTATAATATCACTATTTGGCTGTCTAGGTAGCTATCTATATGAAGTTTTTAAAATTTTTTTTTAGTTTCGAATAAAGAACTCCGTGGTACCTCAATGTGATAAATTCATAAATTGCATTCATTTTTCATTTGTTTCTGTTGAATTGGTGACAATTACAGTCTTGTTAGAACTTAACATTTATTTATCACGTAAAATTTTTAGTGCATAATTTATTATGACATACTTTTTTTGTAGTCTTACTCAATACCAAAGCTATGCTAGACTTTAATTGGCATTTAGTTATGAAGCCCTATCCTTAAGTCCAGGGCTTAGCAATCTCAGTGATGATCTACGTCAGGGACGTCTTTTAACAACGACATTTAAAGATATAAAAAATGTATATATATATTTCAGTATATTATAAAGTACTCTGTGAATATGACCAAGTAGGCCATTGTAGGCATCAGGAAGCTTTGTACCAGATGGATTAGGGATGCGAAAGTCGAAAAAAATATCGATATATAATATTTATAAAAATATCAATACCTCGATATATCGAAAAAAAAAAATATCTTTATATCGATCAGTTTTAAAAAATAATGTATTTAGTTCAGTCTCATTCAGTAATAAGTAATAGTAATTTTTATACCTAAATTCACATTATTTAAATGAATGCGAAATTTAACGTTAATTATGTATTAATTTTAATCGATTTTTTTTATTAATCAAAACTTCTGGGTATGTTATTTATCAACACTTATAACACTTAATTTTTATGACATCAAATATTTTTTTTATGAAAACTCGATATTATGTTATGTGAAATGTAATTATTGAGAATTTGATTATAATTAAATTTTTGTTAACTTAATTTACATATTAAATTAAAGTAACTTTAGTTGATGCCATTAATATTTTGCAAGCTATTTATAAATTAACATATTATGTAGTTCAATATTAATGATTTGCAACACCTCTATACCATGTTGTACGTAATATATGGATAGTTTAAAGTACGAAGCATCAAATTGTAGTACAAATACCAAAATTATACTAAAAAATGCAACACCATTTTTCCATTAGTTTTTCTCTTTTACGGCTTTGAATCAGTTTGAATAAAAATATCGTTTTTGATACGATTTCGATATTCAATTTTTTTTATATCGATATATTGGATCAAAATATATCGGCCAAAAATATCGATATGTGGATATTTTTTCGGCATCCCTAAGATGGATTCCCCATACTTTTGACCGAAGACTAGAAACGCCTTCATGTGACGCCATGGGTGTTTCCTTTTGAGGATCGGCCAACTAAATAAAAAAAAGGAAGAAGTCAAGGAAAAAGATGATTGCCTCGGATATATGCATATCCTATACCTTACAAATACTTTAGAATAATTTATTACAAATGCACACTTTATACTATATATTTTTGGTATGAAACCTAACTTAACTGTATTTCAAAACAAGACCAGTAAAACAAACATTTTCATTCAATTTTCATTTTCAAATAGCAACACCTCTAGCCCGGCCTGCCTGCTGCAGTTTGATTTGACACATCACATTTGTTTCCCAATATTTTTTCCATTTTCGGACATTATTCACTAATTAACACTCATATCACGTCAACCGGTTGTTTTGAAGTTTATTTATTGATAAAACCATTCATTACCTTGTCGTCATCTGTGACCGATTGGCGGGGTAGCGCTAACAATTGAGAGAAAGCTTGTCGAAAGTTTTGCAGTATTTTTAATAGCTTCGTATTCAGATATTTTCGTAATCGCTGCTTAAAATGACCGAAAGTTCACCCGAGGATGCAAATTCTAAACGAAAAGATTTCATTTGCGGCGTAGTTGAAGGTATGTCATATGTACTTTTGGATAACATAACTAACAAGCAGTTCTATAATGGTCTCACTGTTATACATAAATGTGTATAAACTATCATAGTTACGTTGAAGTGAATGACCTAAGCTCGTGTTGCAGGCTTTTACGGACGTCCGTGGACTACCGAACAAAGAAAAGACCTCTTCCATAAGTGAGTATATAACATGATTCACTAAGAAACTTTCATGCATTTAATGTCATTTGTAATTTTCTGTTATATATTTCGTTAAACATTTGTAATAAAATTGTTCTATATTCGTAAAGGTAATTAATACTATAACACGATTTATAATTATTTTTTATTTGTGAATTTTGCAATATTTTTCATTTGATGTATGTATTCAAACTTAATAAAATAACTAGATTTTTTTTTTTTGTATTTTTTAATTTTCATTTATGTAAAATGACCTTTTTAGATTAAAGAAATGGGGAATGGATATGTATGTTTATGCACCCAAAGATGATTATAAGCATCGGGCTTACTGGCGGGAACTATATACAGTGGAAGAGGCGGAGCATCTCTCATCCCTTATATCAGCAGCTAAGTCGCAAGGGATTACATTCTGTTATGCACTTTCTCCCGGCCTTGACATCACTTACAGCAGTCAAAAAGAGATCACTACTCTGAAAAGGAAACTGGAACAAGTATTATGCCAATTTTTTACTATAATATTTTTTATACTAATTATTTTTAAATATGGGCACAATCCACAAATGGCCAAAGTGTATCAGTATTATTGTATATCTGTTCGGGCTGTTAAGGTGTGTTTTAGCTTGACCGTCGCGGAGCAAATAAAAATACGTCTTGTTTGTGGAATGATCTATTAGCAACTAACTTTACATTTGTGATTGACCCGTATTGTGTTAGAAACTACGCGCATAGCTATACGGATATAAAACGATTGGACAATATCATTATTATTTACTTCACATTGATAACAAATTACCAAAGTAATTTTCATTATCTTTCCCAAAGCTCTATTGTAATATTTAAGGCAAAACATTTACAATGACCACATGTTTAAATTCTAGTAATAGGTATCTTGTCTTCTTACACCTGTAATCTATCACACCTAGAAAATCTGAAAAGAGCCAAAGGATAGCTTAATGTATGTTTACTCTACCCTAGACTAAAGGAAAACATATAGAAACTTATTAACTTAACAGATTTATGTGTTCCATTTTAAGTGACAATATTATAGGCTCACTTCCAAACCATATTTCAAATTAAATAATAAGGTAAGTGCTGATATCTGCTGCCTCTTCTAACCTACTAATTTAAAAGGTCTAAAAGTTCGCCTGTTTATTTTATATTTAGGTGTCGCAATTTGGCTGCACTTGTTTTGCCCTGTTGTTCGACGATATTGAACCTGAGATGAGCGAGGCAGATAAACAGATTTTCCAGAGTTTTGCTCACGCTCAAGTAAGTTATATTTATTTATCTATTCTTTATTCCCAAAATGTATGTATAAATACGGAAACAAAACAAATGCACATGGATTCTAATTATTATATTCTGATTCAATATTTCAATCAAATTATGACATACTAAAATTGTTCTAGTAGTTTAGACAAATGATTCTCTACTCATGAAAATCTTTACCATTTATATTTTGCACATCTGGATGATTACCATGGTCATTTGAAATATAATCTAAAACTAAATAAATTGTCAAGATAAAAAGTTTGAAGGATGGCATTCACAATTTTTCAACAGTTATATTCTCATACAATTTCAGGTCTCCGTCACAAATGAGATCCACCAACACCTTGGCTGTCCCCGCTTTCTGCTGTGTCCCACACAGTACTGTTCCACAAGAGCAGTGCCCACTGTCAACAGCTCCGAATACCTGATCACCCTCGGGACTAAGCTCTCACAACAGATTGATATTATGTGGACTGGTAAGTTTTCACCAGTTTATGATTGATAATCAACGCTCTACAGCAATTTGGAAATGTTAAATAAAGAGGCAGACAGTGATAAAAAAAATCAAGTGTTCAAAAGTCAGCAGGAGGCACCTTAGTCGAACTTTGGTGGTGCAAGTGGACGACGCAAGAGAAAAAGCAACTAACATTTGAAACGCAATAAGCTTGATATTGACGTGATGTGAATAAATTGAATGATTCTCCATAATTCATTATTCCAGACAGCACTATAATTGACACAGTCGGTGTATGATTGCCACGTCATGTCACGCATGACGTTATCCAACAACGAATCGAATCAATTCTTTTGTTTAATTTGAATATCAGATAATGTTTGTATTAAAAAAAGTCATCTTTGTATTCATAAGCAAAATATATTACGGGGCTATATATAAAATATATTACCGGGGCCCAATTTATTTAAAGGTGGCTACGCATTTGCAACCGTACGGGTGTTGCACATGTCCATGGGCGGCGGTTATCACTGTTAAAATCAGGCGAACCGTTTGCCACTTTATCAGATAAAAAAAAAGTTCCCTCTGTTTCTCTTCTATTTACTTTTACATCCATAACACATGAGAGACAGTAGATGCGTTTCTACACATTAAAAACGTGCGCGCCGGTTACCTCACTCACCAGACGAAACGCGAAAGTATGTCCTTCCACTTTACGTCGGTGTTCTGTGAGGCCGTGGTCGCCAGGACATACCAGGAAAGTATATACCTACTTCCCTGGACGAGCCTGCCCATTCATGCAAGACCCGAAGCCGCTGCGGGGCCCTACCACGGCAAATACTTGCAATTAACAAGTGCACTTGTACTCGGATCGCTTGAGTATACTGAATTAAAAAGGCTTCGAACTATAACAGCTCACTATAATGTAACAAAATCTGAGCCGTGATAGTTCAGTGACCTGACACTAGCTTCTAATTAAGTATACTCAAGTAAACCAAGTTCAAATCCCGGTGGCACCATTAGAATTGTAATTTTAAGTGGTGACTTATCACGTGCTCAGCGGTGATGAAGAACATCGTTAGGAGACCTGCATATTTTGGGAATAATAACAAAAAAAAATATATATTTCGAAGATATGTGAACTCCGCCAATCTGCGGTGGGGTCGCTTGGTGGACTATGCCCTAATACCCTTCGTAATGATGAGTCCTTTTGCCCAGAAATGGGACATGTGCCCTATTACTGTTACTTTGCCTTTCTACTTTTTTATAACACAATGCTTCACCCATTTCACACGTCGGAATAGTTCGAAATATTGCAAACATAAAGACCTCTCGACATTCACAGAAGGTACATAAATGCCCTTACTTGTTTTGTAACTAAATTGACACTTGTTACGAAAACGTTATTGACTGCGACTATAATGGAGTATTTGATAAACTTATAAATGTTCTCTTTGGGAGTATTAAAATAGAATTTTAGGAAGAATGTACTTATTTATTTCTGTCTATATATATTTATAAGGAGCAAATAGTAACTAACAAATCGTTCTCATTCAGACACGAACTACAGCGCAATACTTATTAATGGAACGCATTTCGTATATTAAACGGAGTGTAAATTTAAAAACATAAAAAAACAACGCAAAAACAATAACAGAACCTAATAGACTTACAAACATAATCAGAGACTTCAATTAGCCATTAATTAACTAGAATTAAATTTTCTTATTTGACTGGAGACACCATACAAACAATTTCGAATATCGTTTTACAACGATAATTCGATCGAGGGATGTCGCCATTGCTTTCAGAAATTTAAACACATTTAAACTTGTAAAAATGTGTCCCTAAATATTTATTATATTATTTGAGCGGTGATAACCTAGTATCCAAAGGCGTTCGCCTTTAATTCAATATACTCGAGCAACATGAGTTCGATCCCCGGTGCCAGCACCAATGAAATTTTAAAGTTTTTTATAGTGCTAATCTCTGCACCTAAGATTGAACATTAAAACATGTAGAAAAAGTACGAAAAGATTGTCGCCGCTGTGGGAATCGAACCCACGTCTTCGGCATTCGCGGCCTGACGCTCTAGCCACAACAAATAAATAACAATGTAGAAAGAAGGCGTTAAGATTTTCGTCGCTGTGGCTATCAGCCGTTTAGCTCAGTGGCTAGAGCGTCAGGCCGCGAATGCCGAAGACGTGGGTTCGATTCCCACAGCGGCGACAATCTTTTCGTACTTTTTCTACATGTTTTAATGACCAATGAAATTGTTAATTTTAAGTGCTGGCTAATCACGTGCTCGGCGGCGAAGAAAAACATCGTGAAGAAACCTGCACATTTTCGAAAGGATAAAAAAAATATTTAGAAATATATGTGAAGTTGGCCAATCCGCAGTGGGGCCGCATCTTTCCAGAGAAGGCCTTTGCAGTGGGACATTTATAGGCTTATATATACTTAACTTTTTTTACTTTATATTATTTATTCCGTATAGTTGTATGTATTCATACTAATGTTACAATCGTCAATGAAACATTTTACAGTCGCCCCCATGTAAAGTTCTCTAACACACAAACGGTATTGGATCCAAAACGGCTAGGTTTTTTCAGTGTCACTGTACCTTCGTCGTGCCAACGACCTCCAGTTGAGTTCGGCGTCGATTAGTCATGCAAATTTTTCGCCAGGCATATTCCATTTCCGTTACGCGATCTGAGTTTCTTTGCAGGCTTTCATCGGTGTAACAACCCGGCTTGTTTTTTTTTTGTTGTTTTTTTAATGCTTACGGTACACATAACGGGCAATAATTTACTAAGAGGGAACCGAATGTCATATATTTGTTGTTAATGAATTTTAGTTGTAGAAAAAAAGGTGCTATAATAAAAAGCAATTTTAACTACCAACTTTGAGAAACGTGGCGTGCTTGACGTCAAATAGAAAAATTGTTTGTATAATTATTCATTCATAAGCTATAGTGTGACGCCGATCACATCTGTGATATGTAGACTTGTCAAAGTTATTACATCCTTTACATACGACATATAAACAATGGCTATTTTCCTTCGCCCCAATGTGTTAATTGATGTGAGAATGTATATCATCCTAAATAAATAATTTCAGCGTATAAAACTTATTGCCTATCCAAGATGCCACATTTAAATGCTAATTCACGCGTTTCTCTTTCCAGGACCTAAAGTTATATCGAAGACACTCACGACGGAATGCATAGAGGAGATCACGCAAGTGCTGAGGAGGCCACCAGTCATATGGGACAACTTGCACGCGAACGATTACGACCAGAAAAGGATCTTTTTGGGTGAGCAATAAGGTTCTATTTACAACACAATTTAGGAACTGAATCCTAGAAAGAGTATGATACATGTATCAGGTGAAGGGTGAACTCAATTTTGTACATTTACTTTTAAAAATCATTTTATGGTCCTTTTAGCCGGATTTAGAGTCTATTACATTATCCCTGGAGTATTCTTACTATCCTTACTAATATTATAAAGGCGAAAGTTTGTATCTATGGATGGATGTTTGTTACTCTTTAACGCAAATACTACTGAATGATTAAACTACAAATACTACTCGCAAATACTACTGATTTTAATGAAACTTTACAATATATAGCTTAAACATCAGAATAAGACATTTATAATACGAGACAGTTATAATTTATATATGCACATATTTATAGTCTTTCTGTCTGAATGTTGTGCCTTCAGTCTATTCTACGCAGACGTAGTCGCGGGCAGTAGCTAGTATTCAATAAACTAAATATATTTTTGCTCCCAACATATAGGTGTAAAACTACACCCAGGTCTGGGATGTGATTTAACGTCCATTTTAACATGTTGCCAAATCAGCCCTAAGGACATTTTACCTCTACAGAACTATCATGCATAAGAGACTAAGCTAAACTGACACAACTTAATACTAGCTTAATTCTAAATTCAATCAATTAAAATTCACGTTCTTATAAAGGCGACAGAAAAGACCAACAAAAATCTTTTTTAACAGTATATAAAAAGTGCTGTAGTAGCATAATAGAATAAGAGACGAGGTAGATATTCTTCTCTTGGTGGTACCGTACGTAATGTAAGAAAATTCGCCCATATCCACTGATAAATTTTTCCCAATAATATCCATTAACACAAAAGCTCGGGAATATTTAGAAGAAAAACGATTACCAAAGCATGAGAAATAGGTACTGATTTGTTTTGTCTTTGCCTAATTAGTGAATGTTATCCACATTATCCTGGCCGTTTTACATACTTATATTTTTACGTGGACCAACACCCAAATCCAAAACAAAACTATCTGGATCATATAAACAGTTGTCTCGTGTGGGAATCGAATCCACCACCCCTGGCGCGCAAGCCCATACCTTGGCAACTGAGCCACAGAGTCTTGGTAAATATATAAATATATAACGGTAGTATTCGTGTAATATTTTCCAGGCCCCTACTGCGGCCGCTCGCCGGAACTGATCCCGCTGCTGCGCGGCGTGCTGACCAACCCCAACTGCGAGTACAACGCGAACATGATCCCGATCTGGACCCTGGCGCACTGGGCGAGCTGCAGCCTCGACGCGCCGGCGCACAGTAACTTATGCGTCTATGTTTTAAGAACCGGTTCCATTATAACACATTCCATACAGTTTTGCTGCGGTATGGCCACGCAATAGTTTTCGCTGTTCCACGAATGGGAAGCACCACGACCTCACGGAAGACCGGCGTGGAGTGGAAATACTAACACTTCTGCGTTTCTTCTGGTGAGTTAGGTAGCCGGGGCCCACTTTATTATAGGTTGCAAATGTGCATCAGGTGAATCGCCAGCTCGCTTGCCATATTGCCGTGCGTCTTACTTAAAAAAAAAAATTGGGACCACAAAAACATGACACGCACACTATTTAAGTAAAAGGAAATTTTAAGCCACCCACATAAAACCTCAATTGCATTTAGGCACAGAATTCACAGTGGTATTTGTCGTTCCCGTAATTATATTGTATTAAGTCAATAAAAACTGAAATGGAAGACCAAATGATATATGTAGAAAAAAATGGAACAGGTTGGAAAAGAAAAAAAGCATCGTGATTGATGTCTTAAGCAAAGAGTCAACTCTTTTTCACCGCTGAGTAAATTATATAAGGAATCTCATAACTTGGCGAGGAAGAAAAATTCACTGTTCTTCTTTTTACCACGTGCCTGTTTTTTCTTGCTTAATACAATTTTTCTTTATTCAAATGGGCAATGGCACCGAAAAGCGAAATATTTTAATGCGGTTTAAACAACCTAGTTCGGCGACGTATGCTACAAGTCTATTGTAGTAAGTTGTCACATTGATAATTATGTACTAGTATTACGCACCAAAATTTTCTACATTTACAGGAAATGATTGTTATTATTGCTATTACGTATTAAACTAATAAACGATATTCCGTCTTCCGGCGCGAAGACAGGGATATGGGGTTCGAACCCCTTAAAACCTCTTCAGCTTCGGAGCTTCCGAGGCTTGGACCGAGGGGCTCCGAGATGCCCCTACTGGATCCTACTGAGAGTATGCGTTGGGATAGGAAAGACCATCTCCGTTTCCCTCATTGCTTAACAGCAATGCGAGCACTTACACCAACCGGTTGTATTAAAGTGGACAAAAGTCGATAAACTCCTATATCTCCTGCCATACTATACCATATTCTTTAAAATACTCTCTGTTATATACTAAGTCTATTACGATAGTCGTTGTTGCCTATAAGTCTTGTACTGCGCATTAACTAGGGCGCATATCAATTATCAAAACTTATTAGATATTATTAACTAGATAATTAAACGGATAATGTAAACATCGGTGTATGTACCGTCTAATTTCTGACCTATAGGAGGTCAAAATAGTCCGTACATCGACTAGTTCCTCTTCAGGGACGCGCGTTACCTCTTTTTACCTTTACTTGAAATACTTTATCGAGGGTTTTTTGCTACAGTGGAAGCCGTATCCTGGGACATCAAGCTCGAGCGCGAAGGGGAGCAGGGCGTCTGCGAGGACGAGCCACCTTTGACCCTGGGCAAGCACGTCTACCACCACCGACAGGCGTTGAGGTGAGCATACTCCAGGTGCTTGCAGAATGTGGTAGGCTTAAAAAACCTCTATCACCTAAAACCAGTGGAAAGGAGACAAAACCAATCTTTGTTTTGTCTTTTTCTCTTTTTTGTCTTTTTTCCCACTGATTTTTAGGGTTCCATACCCAAAAACAAAGCTATTGCTAAGACATCGCTGTCTGTATGACCAAGCTGTATCTCATGAACCGTGATGGTAAGGCAGTTGAAATTTTCACAGATGAACAGATATGATTTATCGACTCGCACTTGGCCTTAAGTCCTTCCTTTTTTTAAGTCATATCGAAGCAGTTTTAAAGTATAGGGGCTAACTTTAAACACTGTTAGTTTGTTGGGCACTCTTCAATGTTTTTTTCCGTCCCAAACATGATATTGTGTACTGTGATAAATCATATAGCAGCGGCATTCAGTTACGAATTTTATTTTATGTCCTGAACTGCGTATGTGGTATACAGCCCAACTGCGCTGTCAACTCTTCGTTGATTTTTATGATATGAGATTTAGATCATTTTACTGTTTGAATTTTTTTTAACAGACAAGCAATCAACGAATGGCTTCCAGAGTTCTCCATTCCGAAGACAGCTCAAGGGCCAGTCATTAAACCTCAGCCACCCGTAAACGGTAAGCAGTATGTCTATAATATTATTTGTTGCAAAAAATTAAAAAAATTGCGCTGTAACAAAGCGGAAATGTTTCTTTCCTTTTTTAATTTAGTATCCCTCCACTTGCTACTATAGCGCCACCTTAATTTGCTCCCTTTCAACGGACACTTTTTAATACACTGAGATGGTCCTCCTTTATTCTACCCTCCATACATTAAAACTCAGGTTGCTCGAGTATATTAAAAGTGACCACTTGGAAACTGAGCAATGCCTGATATAAGAGAAAGTAATTTAACTACGCTACCTATATACTTATAACGAAGAAACACTTTTGGGGTGCTTTTAATGCAGTGGTCGAGCCTGTAATCAGCAAGACTGGAATAAAATCATTTCATGGTTCAACAATCCGGCTAAGAAGACCGTGTAGATTTATTACTTCCGACGTGTTATATTTACGTTATAAAAACGAGACATTTCTTAGGCACAAGCATACAGTTTTAAAAGGCTGCAATTCATCCCCTATTTTGTTAATATCCATTAGACCAATTTTATTACCCGGTGATACTGACGCAATTCAATTCATCCCCTATTCTTGCTAATATCCATCCAATTTTATCACCTGGTGATACTGATAAATAGTCACCTACTTCCCACCCGTATAACTTATAGCGTTTCTGCGGAATCTGTGTCCGACGTAGCTTAACATAATCGATAGGTCTTGGAGAAACATTAACTTTGCAAGAACTTTTTAAACTAATAGCAGTGCCGCCTCTTATGAGGTGACGATGGCTGGGCTCCCCTCAAATTCGTAAGGGGTAAAGAAGTTGAGAATCCATGGACGCTATTACTATAAGCTTTTGATGACGCTGTGATGATTTCTTTAGTGTAATTATCACCATCGTCAATTAGTGGCCACGTTACGGTGAGAAGGTTCACCAAATGTCACGAATTTTAGTATTCTTTTTCACTCTCTGTACACTGGGTCTTTAAATGTGGAAATGGTGAAGAGAGTATTTCGCTCTCTCTCCCACTCATAGTGTAGCCTTACTATGACCCAGTTATAAATAAATAAATATTTCGGGACATATTTTTACACAACGTTATCTAGTCCCAAACTAACTTTACTATGGTTACTAGGTAATTGATACACATACTTAAACATACTTTTCTTTTGTAATTTAATGCATATTATAGATATATAACCCAGACACAAGAAAAACAATACATTCATCCCATAATATTTTTCCAGTGGTGGGGATCGAGCCCACACCCTCAAGCGCAAGAGACGGGGGTCACTATCCACTACGCCAATCAGTTCATCGGAGTATTAAAAGTGGACATTTAAATTGTGTTACAGTGCCGCCGGCGGCGATAATCCCGATCCTGCCGTCGGTGAACACGTGCATGTCGCTGGTGACCGGCACCAGCACCACGTGCACCACCAGCACGTGCGACATGGCGCCCCACGTCCCCACCATCCCCACCATCCCCACCATCAACACCAGCCAGCTGCAGGCGCTCGCAGAGGTCTGCTCGGCGACCCCCGACAGGCCGATACTCTCCACCGGGGTGAGGGAACATCTTCGCCTCTTTTTGGTGGCATCATGTTAAGTCATAACCACCGCCGATGCACATGCTTTGCCACCTTATAACGAAGTGGGCTCTGGTTAACACTCCAGACGGAACGAAGAAGTATAACACTTCCACTTCACGCCGCTCTTCTGTGAGATCCTGGTACTTAATTGGAAGGATCTGCCCATTCTCTTAGCTATTTTTAAATTTTGACCAGTTTTCTAAAAGAGTACAGATGTTTATACCTAAATAAAGGAAAGCAACCTTATGCCGGGCACTTAAATGTACATGTGTTATACACCTCTTACAGGTATGTACAAAGTTGTATGCAACATTGTGAAAAGTGTGTCATTGTGGGAAGTATAATGGAATCGAAAGTGAGCGCGATATTACCGTAAAAATAGTTGAAATTGGTAAAGTTTACTGTTTGGTTTAATATAAGAAATTACCATTCGAGTCTGACGTCCGTTTCGTTAACAGATATCGCCGATCGAGACGTTCAATCCGGTCTCCAATCCCGTGATGAACTCGCTAGTGTCGCCCACCAAGGTGATACTGAACGAGTCGATACCGAACCCTATAATACCGATGGCCAGTTCGAATATGGCGCTGCCCTCGGAGATACCCGTCTCTACTCTGCCCGTGCCTATCATGGGGCTGAAGGCGCTCGAAGGTCAGAAAGCCCTGGAGCAGAAGGTGGACCATCCGGCAGAGGGCGCCCCCGGGGGCAGCTTCGCGGAGGACGTGCAGAAGACCAGGGACGAGGAGGTGGATCCGATCGTCGTTGACGAGGCGGAACAGTCGGTGGACGCGCAGAGGAACGGCGAGATGAGTGTAGGAGGTAAATAGACAGCTATAATTTACATATGCAATATGCATATGTACCACCCCAAGGTTGACCGGTATAATGCCTTAGCTTATATGTATGTGTCCCAATGTCAAGCAACCTGCCTTGTACAAAGGTTAAGTTGGGAGACTTCACATGTCTCCTCCTTTTTTAATTTCGAAAGTCAACTTACGGTTTCACGATAATTCAGCACTTAATATTGTAACTTAGTATTGTATTCAAAATGTAACAATTGTACATTTTGAATAGTGCCCTGGTTCGAGTCTGTATATTTGGACCGCGCTTTCGTATATACCTAAGTAAGAGTTCTGTGCTGAAGGGCTCGCGTGTTTAACTTGAATGCTTCCTTCGGCAGACACGCCGCAGACGCTGAGCCCCAGCCGCCCCTCGGCGCCGTTGGCGGGCCTGGAGCCCCTGGAGCCCCTGGAGCCCCTCGACGTGGACCCGCCCTCCACCGCCGCCACAGACTCAGACGTCGTCATGAACGACGGCCTCAGCGAGGTGGGGACCACGCACACACAAACACACACAGCTTGATTGGTGATTAAATGAACAAGTCATCAAAGATCAACCAAAATCATATAATTAATGGTTTACTTTTAATATTAAATGTAATGTGTTTTTACGTTTAGCTTTATATTATTTGATATAGACATTATTGCTAATATAGATTAAGACTAAATGTGTGAATATTATCGATTAAGACATTTATTAAATTATAATAAAAAAAATATAATTATTACTAGTGTCAGTAGAATATTTTGCTGGCCTAGATGAAACTCTCAAGATTGATTTACAATACCACTGACATGTAAATTTGCTCATAAATTATTACATAGCAATTAACACAGATTATAAACCATTTTGACAAAGCCATCCATGACCAGAAACATTTCAATATCTACGAAAAGTCCGAAATTTAAGTTTAAAATTAAACTCAACTAAATGCCATTGTAAATATTGAATAGTATCTTTTTAGAAATTATTAATTTTACGACAAACAGAACTCCGTTGATTATAACTCATAAAGAAATGTGTTACATTTTTATGTTAATTTTACTTTAACAGAATGGCTCTATGCAAGTCGAGCCGAGCAACAGCCCTCTTAGCGGCGATATGATGGTGGAGCCAACGGAACCCACAGATGAGTGAGTTTAGATTTACGTAACTCCCACTCTTTTATTGGATAGAAAATTATTAATGTAATGGTAAGTGATCACTGCTCACAAACATCCACAATACAATGTTGGAGAAATGTTGCCTTTCTCATTAATAAGGTGTCTCTAAGGCCTAATGGGCGTAGTGAGTTGTGAAACTGCCTCTTGCTTCAGAGGGACTGGGTTCGATCCACACTACTGGAAAAGTATTGTGTGATGAACAGTGTTTGCCAGTGTGTGGGTGTTTATATATGTATAACATGTATTTGTCTACAAAAGAAAAGTATGTATAAGAATTTTCTCAGTTATCTAGTTATTTCGGGACTATAGAACTTTGTGTAAAAATGTGTCCTAAAATATTTATTATTATTTACTTCCCCGGACTAAATGCAAAAGTGTAACTAAAGACATAGACTTCTTCATGCATTCTTCTCTTCATTGTATTGTCTGGCAGTGATTGTAAAGGAATTTTGGAAACAAAAAATTTGAGGAGTTGCTCGCCGGTTCTTCTTAGGACCTGTATAATTTAGGGAGCTGGTGGTAGTTTTCGTAAGTCTAAACTGACGTTTGGTAAGTGTTTAATAAAGATTTTAATTCAACTGTGGTAGGACCACACAACAGCATTGGCTGTTTCATGAATGGCCAGGTCCGTCCGGGTAAATACCACGACGAAAGTGTAAGTGATGTAGCCAGGCAGTTATTACAAGGTGGCAAGGCATCTGCCACCCTACGGTGCTACAAATGTCCGTGGGCGGCGGTTATCGATTAACGTGAGGTGAACCGCCGGCCCGCTTGCCAAATTCTCACACAAACCCCTTATGTCCACCAGGGCCGGGGGCGAGGGCCCGCTGACCGCCGAGGACCTGGTGCTGCTCTGCGACCTGTTCTACCTGCCGTTCGAGCACGGCTCGCGCGGGCTGCGGCTGCTGCACGACTTCAACTGGCTGCTCGCGCACGCCGCCAGCCTGCTGCCGCGCCCCGACAACGCCGAGGTGCGCCCCGTTCGCTCCGCATTTGCCCCGTGTTCGACCCGCGTTCGCTTCGCGCTCGCCCCGCGTTCGCCCCGCGTTCGCTCCGCGCTCGCCCCGCGTTCGCCCCGCGTTCGCCCCGCGTTCGCCCCGCGCTCGCTCCGCCTTCGCTCCACGTTCGCACCTCGTTCGCCACGTCTTCGCCTCATGTTCGCCCCGCGTTCCCCCTGTACTCGGTCTATTCTGCCCGTGTTCGCTCTACGTTAGCCCCCATGTTCTCCCTATATGTACGCGTTACGTTTGCTCCACGTTCGCTCTACATTTGCCCCATGTTTGACCTACATTTGCCCTATGTGCGCCCTATATTCGCTCTACGTTAGCCCCATGCACGCTCTACGTTCGTGGCAAATTCGTTCTTACAAATGGCATCTCGCCCGGGCAAGTAACACGTGCCCATGTAACATCGGCATGAAGTAAAAGTATTTTGCAATATCTCCGCGTGGTGGTCTTAGCTCATAATCAAGTGAACCAAGTGCTCATTTGTTAACAGAATGTCTTGATTCTCTTCCAATTATTAAATGCCCTATTAATTTCATTGGTACTGGATCTTGGGGTCTGGGGATACTTAGGAAACTCCTGAATACTGAGCGAGATATTTGAAATCGGTCTTGTTTTTCGTTACTAACCATTTTTTTATTATTAACGAAAAACAAAACTGAATTCAAATATCGCTCGCTGTATTCATTTTATAATTGATTTTCAGGAGTGCCCTACGTATCTCCGGAGCCCAAGATCCAATACCAATGAAATTAATATGGGACCACATGGGAATCATTAAAATCGGTCGAAAGCTATGAGGTACCAAAACATGAAAAAAAAAAGAAAAATACAGTCGAACCGAGAACCTCCGTCGTTTTCGAGGTCGACGGAATACGGTCCCATATTAATTTCACCGGTACCGGATCTAGCGCCTCCGTATTAATTTTCGGGACCTCCCCGAGTGTCGGACGCACGAGATAGGGGCCGGCCCCTCACGCAGCGGTGCGTTGCAGAGCGGCGAGTGGCGGCGGCGGCTGCGGCGCTTCTACTGGTGGGCGGGGCGCGCGCGGCGGCTGTCGCGCCGCCTCTCGGCCGCGGCCAACCGCGAGCTGCACGCCGAGCTGCACCCCTACCTGTGGGAGCTGTGCGCCGTGCTGGCGCTGCTCGTCGGCTTCCTGCGCTGGCTGGGTGGGCACCCTCGCTTGTACCGTCGCCGGTCATAAACACATCCCTCCTTCCCCCCATGGCTATTTACGCTGGCTAGGTCGGCACGCCGTCCCTGGCCATAGACTATCGCCGATCTCGGAATCATTTAACTCTCACTCATACCTTTATCGGTCATACAACTAGCACACACACCGACACAAATCTCAACGTCTTTTATCTACAATATTCTTTCGCATTTTAAGAAATGCTTGGCGAATTTATTGTTATATCGTTTTGCAACGACAATTCGAACGAGACATGCCGCTATTGCTATATGACATTTAAGCACTATAAAAATTTAAACTACTATAGTACTCTAAGACGTGCTATCGTATCAACCGAGTTTCACCTTTAAACAGAATATTAGTTTTGTTTTCTATTTCAGAATTGGGCAAGTTCCCGCAGAATATTGCGTCCAACATTCAGGGGAGTTACACGTGTAAGTATTTTTGCCTATGAAGAACTTTTGAACATCAAAATCCGATGATCTCTCGTTTAATATTGTGTTGGTAACAGTAAAGTTTTTTGTTATAACGTTACTTATAAACGTTGCCTACTAAATTTCGATATGAGGCAGTGGTAAGCGAGGCAAATGGTTCACCTGATGTTAAGTAATTAACGCCTCCCATACCTACAATGCCGGTACGACGGTTTAATTAAACAGCTTGGAATTATAGGTAAACGTCATGAAGTTGTTATTGGCTGTCATGGTAATACCGTGAAGTTGGTTGTTTTGTAAACAGCCATAATATCATGTCGCCTTCGTGTAAGAAGTATAACTTAAAAAACCTAATACCGTCTGCTGTTACTTTATACTCCGCGTGACGCGCTAACTAACTAAGAAACGCCGCGCAGGGTTCTCTAAGGGGTGGCGCGAGGCGTTCGAGAGCGGCGCGCAGGAGCCGTGGGTGTTCCGCGGCGGGCTGACGGCCGATCTGCGGCGGCTGCTGGCCGTCGAGTGCGGCGCCGACCTGCTGCGCCCCCTGCCCGCGCCGCCCGCCCCGCCCCTCGCGCTGCGCCCCTACCGCGCGACCGACGAGCGCAAGGTGAGCGCCGCGCACGCACGCACACTCGTGCATCTTATCACTCGCGTGTGCACCCCACGCACACTCATGCGTCTTACGCCCCTCGCGCTGCGCCCCTACCGCGCGACCGACGAGCGCAAGGTGAGCGCCGCGCACGCACGCACACTCGTGCATCTTATCACTCGCGTGTGCACCCCACGCACACTCATGCGTTTTACGCTCCTCGCGCTGCGCCCCTACCGCGCGACCGACGAGCGCAAGGTGAGCGCCGCGCACGCACGCACACTCGTGCATCTTATCACTCGCGTGTGCACCCCACGCACACTCATGCGTTTTACGCTCCTCGCGCTGCGCCCCTACCGCGCGACCGACGAGCGCAAGGTGAGCGCCGCGCACGCACGCACACTCGTGCATCTTATCACTCGCGTGTGCACCCCACGCACACTCATGCGTCTTACGCCCCTCGCGCTGCGCCCCTACCGCGCGACCGACGAGCGCAAGGTGAGCGCCGCGCACGCACGCACACTCGTGCATCTTATCACTCGCGTGTGCACCCCACGCACACTCATGCGTCTTACGCCCCTCGCGCTGCGCCCCTACCGCGCGACCGACGAGCGCAAGGTGAGCGCCGCGCACGCACGCACACTCGTGCATCTTATCACTCGCGTGTGCACCCCACGCAGATTCATGCGTATTACGCCCCTCGCACTGCGCCCCTACCCGGCGACCGACGAGCGCAAGGTGAGCGACGCGCACGCACGCACACTTGTGCATCTTATCACTCGCGTGTGCACCCCACGCACATTCATGCGTCTTACGCCCCTCGCGCTGCGCCCCTACCCGGCGACCGACGAGCGCAAGGTGAGCGCCGCGCACGCACGCACACTTGTGCATCTTATCACTCGCGTGTGCACCCCACGCACACTCATGCGTCTTACGCCCTCGCGCTGCGCCCCTACCGCGCGACCGACGAGCGCAAGGTGAGCGCCGCGCACGCACGCACACTTGTGCATCTTATCACTCGCGTGTGCACCCCACGCACACGTCTTACGCTCCTCGCGCTGCGCCCCTACCCGCGCGACCGACGAGCGCAAGGTGAGCGCCGCGCACGCACGCACACTTGTGCATCTTATCACTCGCGTGTGCACTCCACACACACTCATGCGTCTTACGCCCCTCGCGCTGCGCTCCTTGCCCGCGCCGCCCTCCCCGCCCCACTTGCGGCCTACGCACATGCACAAGCATCTCATGGCTCAATTGTGCGGCCTACACACATTTATGCATCTTACGACTCACGTATGCGGCCTACACACACACAAGCGCCTGCGACTCATATGTGCAACCTACACACGTGAATTCATCTTTCGACCTACGTGTACGTCCCACACTCACACGGGCATCTGATAGCACACGCGTGTATCGTGCTCCCTACACACGCACATTCATCTTTCTACTCACCTGCGCGGCCTACACACATTCATGCATCTTACGACTCACGTGTGCGGCCTACACACACGCGGACAACTGCAAGCACACGTCCTGCACAATTTGGATTTGAATTGGAATTTTTGATTTGAATTTTTTTTGGCTGTTTTATTCAACCTGTATGTGTAGGTCACCTCGGTGTTAGCATAGTAATATTTTTCTCACCAACATTACTTTGACTAAATGTTAAATTGAAACTTTTCAAAGACCTGCCCGGACATGTTGTAACATTGAAGGACGAGTTAAAGAAACAATGTTATACCCGGCTCTCTCGCAACGAAACTGTCACATCTGTACTATCGTTCCAGGTATCGCTGATTTGCCACAAAACATGCCGGGATGGCTCCGATTGCACAGATCTATTCCCGAGCGATCTGCAATCGCTGCCAGCTGACAGGTATGTTGAGAATTTTTACTGTCACACTCAATTAAGTTCGTTATACAGTTAAAATTTTTCATATTAAGCGTTTTAATTAATTTTTAAAGATGTATGTGCACACATTATTTTATTGGCGTACACAGATACAACTCCAATATTAACGGTGACCATCTGACATTTTTATATCTGAGAACGTAGTAAGAGAGCTGGCGGTTCACCTGATGTTAAGTGATAACCGCGGCCCGTGGACATTTGCAACACCCGTTTCTGCAACCCAGATACATTGCCACTTTTTGAGTGAAACAATGAATTGGGTCGGGCTACCTCACTCACCAGACATATTTATACCAGCCCACACTCAATCGCATATTACATTTAAGGTTCACTTTGCAGGCTAGTATATATCGCCGTGATAGCTCAGTATCCGGGCGCTCGCCTTTAATTCAATATACTCAGGCTAGTATATATCGCCGTGATAACTCAGTGTCCGGGCGCTCGACTTTTGTTAATTTTAAGTGCCGAATTATCACGTGCTCAGCGGCGAAGGAAAACATCGTGAGGAAACCTGCATATTTTCGAAATAATAATAACAAAAAAAAATATTTCGAAGATATGTGAAGTCCGCCAATCCGCAGTGGGGCCGCGTGGTGGACTACGCCCTGATACCCTCTGTACAGAGGAGGCCTTTGCCCAGCAGTGGGACATGTATAGGATGATACTTTTGCAGGCTGGTGGCGCCATTCCTGACCCTCTGCCCCGAGCTGTGCATGGTGATGGAAGACGACGAGGCCTGCCCCCACCAGGACTCGGACGGCTCCGAGGCCGACGGCGAGGAGCCTGACGAGAAAGTGGACCTCGCCGCTGAAGCGAAGATCAACGGTGCGTTCCCGGAAACCGACAATCAATCCTCATTATCGTGTCCTTACCTCAACAAACTCAGCCTCGATAATCTATGGTTGGCGCCTTTAACTACCTGTGTGACCCACAGATAATCGTTTCGTGTGCATGTGTTTTTTTTTAAATTGTTGCCCGTACTGTAGAATGACATTATCCTGTGTTGTAAGGACGTTTAACAAACACAAATTTCACGCGGTCAAACACCCACCAAATCCGAAACAATTATCTGTGGGTCACACAAATAGTCCCGTGTGCGGATCGAACCCACGACCCCCGGCGGCGAATACCTTGGCAACTGCGGCATGGAGTTATCTTGTATCGAATACCTTGGCAACGTCGTCTACGCCACAGAGTCATCTAGTAGTTTTGTCCGTACTATACTAAATACTGAGGTTGTTTCAACAGGCGTCAAGCCGGAGATAGTGGGGTACGCGTGTGCCGCGATCAACGCGAAGGAGTTCTATAAGAAGCAAGAGATCGCTTGGATCCCAGAGATGTGTTTGAAGTACCCCCAGGAATTGGAGGACAGGCCGGACCTCAGTCCAGCTGCCAAGGTCAGTTCAACTGAAGAAAGCCATTTAAAAGCTTCTACTTCTTTAACCCTAAAAATGTACCCCAAACAGTCGTGATAGATAATGCGAAATGTTTTCAAACAAATTGTCCACAGTAGTATAAATAAAGCATCAAGTCCCGCGACGCCTAATTAATAAAATATCCAATCGTACATGACATCATAGCCCATACTGCAAGGAATAAGTCACGCATTTTCGCCTCTCCTGTGAAATTCGTGTTTTGTCACGTAACGCTGTTTACCCGTGAGGTACAGAGTCCTGGTTCACAATGGAGCGAACTGGACGGGTCGATTATGCCGGCAGGAGTGCGTGCGCCACTTCCACTCGTGGGGCGCGGAGGCGCGCGCGCCCGAGGCGCTGTGCCGCTCGCACCCCGCGCTGCTCGCGTGCGGCGTGCTGCCCGCCGCGCGCGACCCGCTCGCGCCCGCGCGCCTGCTCGCCTGCCTGCTCGCCGCGCTGCGCGCGCACGGTACAAGCACGCACACGCACACGCACGCACGCACCCCTTGCCCCTCTGGACGTACACGCAACGAAGCAGGAACGTTTGCGTGTCCACGTGACACGCATCGCCCCCGCTCCCTAGCACCTATACGAATTGGAGGGCGTATAGGAGGGGAAATATGTATTGGAGGGCGTCCGCGTGACGCGCATAACCTCCCCGCTTGCGCATGTGGAGAGGCAACACACACCAATGCACACAGTGACGTTGAAACTTAAATGTACGCAAGTGTGTTGGCATAACTTACTCCCTTTTTAAGCTCACGAGGCTAGCATTGTCACTTCCCCGTGTATGCACACGTACAAACACTAACGCGCACACAAAGATTCAACGTCGTGATAAAAAATCCTGTTAGGATCCTTCAACTTTTCAATTTTTGTTCAACTTTTTGAAACTTTTTAAAAAGGGTTATTATAATATAAATGAATACATTAACGATAACAACCCCTGGGAATGAGATGATCGCTCCTAAGCTGTTTCTAAAAAAAATATGTACTGTATAACAATGTAATTGTTTGAAAAAAAAAATGACAAAAAAGAGGATACCTACGGAGTTTCTTTCGCCTGTTTTTTCTCCGTTAGAGGAACCTCATTACGAAACGGTGGTAGATTAAAAAAAAAATTACTATCGATCTATGAAATGTACATTTATTATTTCGATGAATAAATGGTTTGATTTTGATACCATCTATTGAGGCATACCCATCACTGCGCCAGCCGTGTCGCCAACCGCCCAACGCCTCTCCGCAGGTGTGAGTGGCGTGCACGTGTGCATCAACTCCACGGACCAGCACCTGCACCAGTTCTATACGAAGCTCGGCTTCGCGGAGGCAGCGCGCGACGGCGGCAGGGTGTTCCTGGCGCGCACCTTCTAGCGGTCGACGCGCAAGCTCGCGCCCAGGCGCCGCCGACGCCCGCGTTGACCCCCGTCACGCCCCTGACTCGCTGACCCGCCAAATTTCCCGCCCCCTGACTCACCGACCGCCTCATATCCCGCCTTCTAACTCGCTGACCCGCCACGTTTCCCCCCCCCCCCCCCCCCCTGACTCACCGACCGCAACATTTCCCGCCTTCTCACTCGCTGACCCGTAACATTTCCCGCCCCCCTGACTCACCGACCGCCTCATTTCCCGCTTTCTAACTCGCTGACCCGCCACATTTCCCGCCCCCCTGACTCACCGACCGCCTCATTTCCCGCCTTCTAACTCGCTGACCCGCCACATTTCCCGCCCTCCTGACTCACCGACTGCCACATTTCCCGCCTCCTTGGCTCTACGATCCACCTTTACCGCCCGAATTGTCTGACCCGCCCACGTTGCCCATTGGATCCCCCTAGCTCGATACATTTCCCGCTACTGCCTCCGTATTATATAATAAAATGCTCTGCAAAACCAGACCATACTGATATTTACGTTGCAAGCATAACGTCACAGTTCATAAGTCCGCCCATATCGCGAAGACTGCTGTAATTGTTGTTTTATATATTTATATATATATTACACACATACATACCTACTATATTCATTTATTCAATTATTCATATATACATACTTATATACACACATAAAACCACACTAAAATCACGACGTCTCTATACTATTTAAAAAGCTTATTTTCGTTTTGTAGGTTATACAATTGTTACTAACCGTACTGCAATGTGTGGTGCAGTAGTAATTTCCCTGCATTTATTAGTCTTTAAAATTTTAATTAAACTCTTCAAATCGAAATCATAACCCAACACCATTCTTTTGCACCCAGCTTAAATACCACACACATGATTGGTGCTGAAAAAGTATTGATAAATATTTTTTTAAGAATTAAATTTGTTTTATATTGTATCTACATCATATATTTAATGTTAAGAACATGATATTTGGAAAGAATGACATAATTTTCGTTTTATTCCATGATTTGTTTGATTTTGATGATTTGTTTTCATAACATTGTTAGTTTTGACACTATATTTTTTAGTAGTGTGACTAATTTGAGAATCGTCATATTATTTAAACAGGTCATTTTATTTCCAACAGCGACATAAATCTGAAAGATCTCTACGACTTCTGTCGTATTGGTATCAGAAGACAATCAATCTAATAATAGTGGTACTATTTTGTATAGAAATAATCTCTGCATATTAAATATGTAATCTGTGTTCTGCAAAATTGTATAATATTATTTTTTACACTTATATAATATTCTAGATATAATGAGTGATATTGCGTTTAGCATTACTTTGAAGTATTTATGGTTACATTTACTTTTATACACACACGTGTAGTTTAAATTTATATATTTAATGTTTATATTGTAATCTAATAAATATAGTGAGAGATTTGAAAACGCTGCTTCCACCAGCGATGTTAACCTTATCTTCCATTGACAGAAATCAAATTGACTGATAGGAGTTTCGTGTGAAAAGTTGGTGCAAGTATTTAAATGGCGCGCGATAGCAACACTTCAATAACGATTAATAATATGATCACTGGAAAAGTTATTTTTTAACCCCGACTTTAAATTAGGAATTATATCATGTACTATAGTTTTAAATAATTTTATGGTAATTTTAGTCTATAACTAAAAAGAGCTAATCAAAGCACAGATGATAAATTAAAAAGTATAACGTCACATTCGCGCGTCAATTCCACTACTGATTTTTTTCGTGTAGTTTTAGTGTTAACGCCGTAAGATTCGAAGTATTAGTAAATAGAGGAGCGTATAAAAGGATAAGGAAGGATGCCTAGTCAAGGTGGAGCGGGAAGACTGATGTGACGATTAATTGGTGAGGGACGAGGTATGTTGATAGAAAAAACAGAAGGCAGAATGAGACGGCTATTGTGGGGTATTTGACGAGAATGGCCAAACTATTTGTAAGGTAGTGAGAGCGAGAAAGCATCTACAATAATTTATATCTTGATACAAGGAAGTACGAAAGAGAAAGAAAATCTGCTCCAATTCATTTCGTGGACCCTATCTGTCTATGACTTGAAGTTTTAAAGTTCTAAGTGCAAGTTGCAACTCGTGTACGATCGTGCGAAGGAAGCCAGTGGAATCCATAGTGTAATTTTTAAGTTAAGTTATATGTATATCAAACGATCACTTATAGCGGTAAGGTGAAACTAAGACGAGTTCAAAATAACACGTCTCATGCTTTTAACTAAACGTAGTTATTGTCTTATTGCCGATATCACAATACTTTTGCAGATTTAAGACTCCATAACAGACGCGTCTCTTATTTTCTATACAAATCTTTGAGTGACAACACAGGCAACTACAATATTTATTTCCATTAGGTAGCTAAGCTAAAGTGAAAACATACCCAATGGTATATATTATTTCAAAATATGATACTGTAATGTAATATAGAATATTAGATAATAAATATTCTAGTTGCGTCTGAGATGGTAGACCTAAGGATTTGTCCCTTCTTGTTTTCATCGACGCCATTTTCAAAAGCAGGTTTCCACAATTTTAACCTGTCGGTTGCGTGCGCATTGGTTAATTATTGTTAATTAAGGGATAAGTATGGTATTGTATTTATAATTTATGCTGTTTCCTATTTTTTTGACTATTTTAGTAACTTTGTAATATGATTATATTGTTTTAGTGAAGGTTAAGTTGACTACACGACCATAATTTGTCATAGATGCATAAATGTATAATTTTCATGTCAAAATAACAAATATTATATCCACCACTAGTTTTTGTTTCTCATTTTTAATAAATATCCTTTTCTTTTGTAAGGTGCCATTGTGTTGTATACATTGAGAAATATTCTTTGAATTGGACTTGTAAACCGAATAGACTGGTTTGTATGAGACCAACATTTTTGTTAACTGAATGTCACGTGATCACTGTCTCGTCTGCTTCATTCCAACTAAGCCGGTCGGTTCTTTTGCGTCAAGAATAAAAAGTTTGAGACCAGTCGAATCTTGTATGATATGACCAAAAAATATCGATATTTCGTATAGTGTCGATTTTCCGATATAATGCATCCGAATCGGTATAGAGACGATGAATTTACGCTTTCAGTCCGATGACTACATAAAGCTTCCTCGTTCGCAGAATCCGGACCAGTCAGATAATAGCTATAGAGAGCCATGATAGCTCAGTGTCCGGGCGCTCGCCTTTAATTCAATATACTCGAGCCACCTGAGTTCGATCCCCGGTGCCGGCACCAATGAAGTTTTTAACTTTAAGTGCTGACTTATCACGTGCTCCGCGGTGAAGGAAAACATCGTGAGGAAACCTGCATATTTTCGAAATAATAACAAGAAAAAATATATTTCGAAGATATGTGAAGTCCGCCAATCCGCAGTGGGGCCGCGTGGTGGACTATGCCCTGATACTCTCTGTATAGAGGAGGCTTTTGCCCAGCAGAGGGACATGTATAGGCTGTTACTTTACTTTACTTTACAAATAATAGCTACCGATCGAGCCGAGGACCACCCTCGAATCGGAATGCTAAACGCGTGTTGAGTGACAGCCCAAGCCGAGGTCCCCTCTCGGGGACCCTTGAGCCTGATCACTCCTTGGAGCGCCGGTCAAAGCGCCCTAAGAGCTTGGCGGCCTCCCAAACCGGTGATAATAATAGCGTGACGGCCCGAGCCGAGGCTCCCCTGGGAGCCCTCGAGCTTAGTCACCATAACGCGTAATTAATATGCCGAGGTTCAGGCTAGGCGCCACGAGCGCCCGGCCATGTCAAGTCCGTCGGATCTGTAAAGGCCCCTAAGGCCAACAGTGGCTCATCCAGCCAAAAAAAAAAAGCAGATTCCGGAGAATTTTCACCAGTTTCTACACTGCATACACATGTCCACTTATCGGCTATGGGTCATCAGAGGGTTGTGTTAAGTCAGCAGAGTGGTTTTATAAGCTGTTTACCACTCAAATCATTAGTTGCCGGTCGTGTTTGAATCCGTCTTGTTTTGATTCAAACATTTTGGTAAAATAAAGACGGGAAAAATTAGTTTTTTTTCCCCTCAGCATTAACATATTTATTACTCGCACTTAAATTTCATTTAAAGTGCAGATAATGTTTAGCTCTAAAAATAAAAATAATATATTAAAAAGGAGATATTTTTAATAAAAGAAAAAATACATCAATCTCTAAAAAATTTAACACAAGACGCTTGTGCTTTCACTCCGGAGCCACCGATCGTGAATTAGTCGCAGACAGTTCCATTAGCTTTTGCTTTATTTCGGATATCTTGAACAAGAGTATATTTATGTATCACTATAATTATTCCCAAAAATTGTGCCGCACTCGTTTACTACCCCCTTCAATTGGGCATTAAGAAAATGTGCATATTCACAGATAATTAAACATTGACTCTTAAAATTCTAATTAAATATATAACAAGCAGTGTTTGAGAATTAAAATTACCTTGTGTATCTCGGTCAGGAGCACTTTCTGCTCAGTCCTTGGCGTCATTTCGCCCCTGTTCAAATCTATGGCCTCCAAATTTTCGAAAAGCTGCTTTATCTTCATCGCTAAGTGGACGTCGGAGTTGTTCTTTCTCGGAACGCTAGGCTTGCACCGCCTCCAGAGCCTCTTTTTATACTTATCGGGCAGATCCTTCTCTATGTCCTCCCTTGTTAGGAGGCTCATGTATTCCGGGCTCGTATCGTATGGATAGTCCTTAGCGCTCCGCACGCAGGGGCCATTTTCGCGCGGCATGCTCCTCTGTCTTTGTCCGTAAGTCCTGCGCCAGTGCCTTAAGAGCTCCATGTTCCTGTGGCCATTGACGTGTGCTATTTAAAACAGCAAAGTTTTGGCGCGAAAGGACAATTAGTACTAAATTGTCAAAATGAAATTATGTCGGTAGTGTAAAGTGTTATACATCCAGTAAGATATATCAAGGCGGGCGATAAATAATTTTATTCTTCGTCACCTCTAGAATGAGGAGGCAAAGACCTAAACGGGTTAACGTCCGCCGATACCTCACGGCGCCTAACACGCAATACATTACATTCAAGCACATGGCTCGGTGCACTTGAAGGTTTGTGCGAGGTCCCGGATTCGCACCCTACAAACAGTACCCAATTTAACAAGCCGCTATTAATCGCTAGGAATCGCTTGCGTCGTGTTTTTATTTAATTTAATAGAGAATCTGCGTTCGATCATCGCATAATCAGTTACAAATCGAAGTTTCCGCGAATTGATTATTTTCGTAAATCATGTGTTGAATTATTAATTCGCGTTATTTAATTATTTTTCCAAATTAATTGTTTTCATGATTTCCTGTGGTAGGCCCACGCACCGGCCTCGGTTATTGCACCTCTGTGAAGGCTCGTCCGGGTTTGTACCACGAGACCACGACCTCACAGAAGACCAGCGTAAAGTGGAAGTATGACAAATACTTTTGCGTTTCGTCTGGTGAGTGAGGTAGCCGGAGCCCAATTTTCACAAGGTTGTCAACGCATCTGTAATCCTCGGGAGTGGCAGTTGTCCATGGGCGGCGGTATTCACTTAACATCTGGTGAACCGTCTGCTCGTTTGACAACTTTTCGCATAAAAAAATGTGCGAGGATGGCAAGTGAGTCAACAACAATATCAGTGAGGTTCTAGGTTATATCAATCTCTAGACTTAACACAAAATATAATGTTCCCACTCCACGTCTACTGGGACGTCGTGGTATATCCCCGAATGTGTCTCCTATCCCCATCCGACCAACAAGTGAAGCTGCTCATAAGAATTATAAAAAGGATACACTTCACGCGCACGCTTGACTGTTACTTGCATATATACAGCGGTGACAAGCAATTACGCGCGAATTATATTTAACACAGGTCTATGTGGTATTCCTAACATTCACATGTAATTCCAGCTCATTGTGGCTTTTAAAAATCACTGAAATCAAAGGTTGTTCATTAGTCTTACTTTTTGTCTTGTAAAATTTTTTCTCTCCTCGCTAAAAGATTTTTCCGATTCATCAAAGCTATGTCCTTCAAAAAGCTCTGCTTGATTTTCTCGTCCTGGTCGCTCTTACTGCATACGCGTATTGGCTTTAGATATTTCGAACTCTGACAGAATGAGGGCAAGATCTTTTTTCTGCTTATGGCCAACTTTGGACATTTTCCTTTACTTTTACCATAAACTTCGTCTTCTTTCGCGTCGATCATGTCTTTTTCGCTCAGTTGGACCGAAAAAGTTTCGGGAACTTTTCCAACATCATTCGCTGATGAAACATTTAAATTGGAATGTATTCCGTCATCTGATGTCGAGTTCGATTGTAAAAATTCCTCTATAAACTTGTTATGCAGAAAAGACAGAATGTTTTCGGTACCACCGCTAACTACGTTTCGTGGCGGATAAATCAGTGGATTCCCACTTAACTGAAGCACTTTTAAACCTAACACGGTTCCTAATTCATTAGGTAGTGATGAAAGATTATTATTTTGGAGCAATAAATGAGTTAAGTTTTGATGATTTTTAATCGATGTTGGTATTTCACTTAATTCATTGTCTCTTAAATCCAACCACATAAGACATGGTAATAGTTCAAAAAAACCGTCCGGTAGTTTTTGGATCCTATTATTTTGAAGATATATTACCTAAAATACATAAAAAAGTAAATTTTGGCCCAAAAAAGTCAAGTATTCACCATCAACTTTAATAAATGCAAACATACGCATAGCTTATTGTCAATTTCCGGTACAATTTTTAATGCTCGGGAGGAAAGATCCAATGTTTCTTTATTACCCTCACTGTCGTAAATAGTAAACGCTAAAGATATATTTGAATTTTCACACATTATATTATTATCAAGTTTTAATGTTTGACTCGATTCCAAGTAACTGTCGTTTTGTCGATAATTGTCATTGCCAAATATTATGTCAGTTTTATATTGCAACTGTTGTACTTTTTCCAATTTTATACTAAACCAACTTAAATACACAATGAACGCCTTGGTGATTATTATTATAAAAAAATCGGTAAAATATAAATTACATTAAGTTTTCCCTGATATTTCATTTATAGTGATTTAAAATTCTTGAGTTGTCTCAGTTCATTTATATGAGTTTTGCATTTTAAGACAATTAATTAATATAGATAATTGAATTAACAAAATTTTATTATTAATTGAATGTATTGTTTATTTTGATTTTTATTAAATATCATAATAATCATCATCACAGTACGCCTCACTACGACATCATACCACATGTACACAATAACACTATACACATAATAGATACGTCACTACCTCAGTTGCAAGATGGCGAACGTTCGGGATAGTGACACATCCTTGTGGCTCCACAATAAACTCGGAATATCGAATGATTCGTGGACTAGCGGCTCAATTTGTACACAATTAAATGCGGAAGTGTTGAAAAATATTAAAGATTGTTTTCCAGATTTGCAAACACAAGTGAAACTAAAATTATTGTTAAGTTTCTTTCATATCCCGCGCAGAAATGTTGAAGAGGTAACTTTTCTCTCTGCTATTCTATGGTTTTGCATAACTGTATTGTGTTTGATGTCTCTTTCTCTTACAATTAATTTTAATAGGATAGACAAGGATGAATTATTTTAGCAGTTGATTTGTTGTCATTAAATAATCCGGGAAAATGGAACAAAATATTGAAAACTATGTGTGTTTTCGTTTGTTATCAGGATTGCGCGTTTTCTAATTGATACCTTTAGCGCAAAGAATAATAAACATAAATATTTATTTGAATATGTTTAGTCTAGTTATTTGTTTTAAATTTAAATAAGAAACAAGGTGCGCAAGAATTTTTATTATTTATCACAATACTCTTCAAGTGATAATTTGCGTGTGATTAAGGTTATAGTAGAGTTGAAAACAATATTATTTATACCGATTATGTTTGAAAGTAATAAACACGAAATTATTTTTGTGGCAAAAAACTTAATAAACAAAACAAATACATTTATAAATTTCATGTTTGAGCTTTTTTTTAAATTGGAAATGTGTTTTTCAGTGGAGAAATGAGCTGGAAGAAATCATTGAAGTTGCAGCGGTTGACTCTGATCTCTGGGTGGCTATGCTTGCTGAAGTCCTTAAGACCTTTCCATCAGCTGGTACACTCAACACTGAGATAGCGGAGTTTGATGAGACAAGACCTATTTTTAGCGACATGATTGGAGAACTAAGGAGAGCATTGGCTAAACATTCTGATCTTGGTCTACTGCCATTAGAGTGCCTTTATTTAAATAAGAATGCATTGGTTTCTGTGGTAAGGACATTGTTCTAAATTAATTATTTCTATCATTATTATAATTCAAAATGTTATATGATATAGGTAGTACCTAGGTAACAAAATTAAAAGTTTAAAGACTGGGAAGAAATAAAAATTTTAAACTAATTTTAATTATTAGTTATTACAATTTTAGTTATTTATATACATAGTTTCTTGTTTAGTTTTATTTATGCTTTGGCTACAACTAAATTCAATATTTTCCTAGTAATGCGGCAATCATAATTAGAACCATTACTAAAAGTTATAACGTCAGATTATGTTCCTGTCTATGGATGGATATAAATGTGAATAAATTACTTTATTTTGTTATTAATGGCAACCCTTGATTATAAAGACCAAATGGTAAAAAAACATTTAAAAAATTTCAGGTTGGACAGCAACCAAATCCTGTCAAACATTTTACACTTAAGCGGAAACCGAAATCGGTAGCTTTAAGAAGTGAATTGCTAGCGAAAGCAACAGAAGTTCAGGCAAACCAAAAGAAAGCGCAAGCCCCCACTGTACCTGTTAGATCTCGAGGCATGCCCAGGAAAATGACTGATACAAGTAAGCTATATTTAAATTTAATTAGTGGAAGCGAATAAATTTACTTATTAGGGGTTGGGTAATTATTCAATGCAGCTGTGTAATAATTAAGCTCTTAGTTGTTGACCTCATTTTCATGGTGAACAGTCTCCAGGAGTATTTTTTTAAATTATATTTACCAAATATATTTGTTATATACATTTTTGGTACATTACAGTTCTTAAAATTGTTGTCAGATTTAAAGATGACATTGGATCATTGATATCAAATATATCTTTGTACATTGAAATAATTATAAAGTATTAGATTACACCTTAATTTACTTTAGTTATACTGAAAAATGTAGGACCAGTGTATAATCAAGTACTAAAATGTACCAACAAACAAACATATGCAACTGCCAATATTTTCACCTTATTCACAGCTCCACTTAAGGGCCTGCCGTCACGATGGGCCGCCCGGACCGGTGCGAGAGTCCTGGCCCCGGTTGCCCGACCGCCCCCACGGTCTGGCATCAAGTTACTAGATATCAATGAGCAACCTGCTACACATGCACAGATTAAAAAAAGGAGGAAACTTGGTAAGATTACCTTAAGCATGAACTAAAAATGTTTTCTGATCTAACTATCATTCTTTTAAAATTTATTATTCAATAATTAGGAGGCCGTTATTATCGGTTGTCATAATAGAATTTTTCATTGTATACATACCTTATTACTAACCTATACAGCGTGTCGTTACCATCGCGACAATAATTGAACACACGTCTAAAGCTACTTGCCAATAATCATAAAAAAATATTAACGTTAAACAAAATCCATAATTAAAAAAAAATATTTTTCAAACAAACTAATTCAGTAAAAAAGAAACAATATTTGTAACACCCTATACAACTCGCGCCACAGCGTCGTATTACAAGCCTCTCCTTCTAACTATGTTTTGTCTCTTTTAAATTCATTCAACCCATTCATATGCTTCGTGACCTTTATAAATGAACTTTATGTTACACTTTTATAGGTAAGGATGTTCTAAAATTCTTTATTTTGGAAAATTTTATAACTTTGTAAATATTGATGTTTAAAGAATTTAAATGTTTAATACAACTTTAAAAAGTTATCCCCTATAAGTGTGTTCATTTATTGTCGCGATGGTAACGACACGCTGTATAATATATAAAGGACTGATAGAGGAATCAGTATTAACACTCCTGAGAAACAGACAGGTATATTGTTTTAATATGTCAATGATAATATCATATATGAAGGCTATTTTTCAATATTTGAGAGGAGATTTTGCTCATCTAGTTTCCAATGACATGCTTCGAATTTTAGATCTATGTAGATCAAACAAATAGCTTGTCCAATGTATCTTTTTGTTAATGTGAAAAGTTGCCAAACAAGCAGACAGTTCACCTTCTGTTAAGTGAATACCGCCGCCCATGGACATCTGCTACACTCGAGGGTTCCAGATGTGTTGACAACCTTTGGAAATTGAGCCCAGGCCACCTCACTCAATAGACGAAACGCGAAAGTATTATACTTCCACTTTACGCCGGTCGTGGTATTTACCCTGACAAGCCTGCCCATTCGTGCGTGGCCCTACCACCGTAAAATGTATTAATGGAATCCACATGCAGTCCTAGCTAAATACTACTAATAATGTCTCTCTAAACCTAGAAATGGAAGAGGGTGCGAAGAAGCAGCCGCCTGCCGCGCCTCCATCGCCACCGCCCGATTACGCTAAAGGGCTCAACAACTACCAGATGCCAAAAGCCGAAGAACAGCCAGCCACCGATGCGCTTGCACCATGTAAGATTGGCATTACCACATTTCTCTCACTAACATTTTGACGACCCATTTGGCGTAGTGGACAGTGACCCTGATCCTTGCGCCAGAGGGTGTGGGGTTGCTCCCCACTAATTGAATAATATTGTGTGATAAACATAGTGTTCTTCTATTGTCTGGGTGTCAAAATCTATTTACAAAAGAAAAGTACATTTAAATGTATTATATTTGTGTAAATGTATTATATTTTTTCGTTACCTAGTACCCATAGTACAAGCTTTGACCATAGTATAAGCAAGTACTAGATGTAGATAACATTCTGTAAAAATATGTCCCGAAAAACCATATAATTTAATCTGGAAAATACAGGGTTAAAAGAATTTTTACTTAAAGTTATTGTAGTGTGAATCGGAGATTTTTAAATAAAAATTAGACAGTAAGAAATTCTCCATCAGAGGAAAAATTCTTAGATGAATTTCAATATTACCCCTTTAACTTTAATGTATGGGCTAATCAAGCACACAATTTATATTGATTTCATAAATATAATTACAGCAAGCAGTGCTGAGACAGTACAATCTGAACCGGAGGCTAGCACTCCAACGGAAACCACAGCACCTCTTACTAGCCCAGTCTTGTTGCAGGTTTGTAATAAGCATTACATATGTAATATTGTAAACTATATATAATAAGTATACTTTTTAAATAAAATAAAATAAATATTATTTCATTTGTATGTTTATTTAGTTTAAGGACACATAAGTTGTTTGTATTGTAATATAACATATTTTCTGTGTTCTAATGACATGTTATTACAACATGTTTTTAATTTAATACAATATATTGATTAGTTTATATTTTTAATACATTAGTGCAATTAATAAAAAGAATATTTAATATATTATAATAAATTTAATATATAATTTAATATTTAATATATAAAAAAAATATATAATAATAAAAAGAAATAAAATAAAAGTTAAAACTATAAAAAGAATCTGAAATGTTTAAATGTTTGAAAAATAATTTTTAGATTTTACATGTTATTGTTTTCAGCATACTTTTCTGCCCATTTTAATTGCATCTTTTTGTCCCGCTTACATTACAGCAATCAACAGGTACCAAGCCTATAGTAATAGGGCAACAACCCAAACTCCTAATAGCGGGACAAGCCGGTGGTAAACCATTGCTGCTGTCCACTCAGAACCTTCTAAACACATCTGCAGTAATACTGCAGGGTGGCGGCAAAGCTGTGCTGTTGCAAAATATTAAACCTGTAAGTACACACATTGAATGTTTACCCATGTATATATAATTCAATCATAATTGTTTGTAAATGAAACTATTGTTTTACGGACTTTTTTTATCGATTTATCACGTTTATTTTCAAAAATAAACGTGTTAATTAGTACGTGGCGATAATAAGGGATTTATTTATGTAACTTCATAAAAAAATATATTTATATTGTGTAATCGCGTAAATACAATAAATTATCACATAATTGTTTGTTTTATATATGTAATGGCGGTTATAGTTCCGTGGTCGGGTTCTATTTAGTATTCTTTAGCAACCTCAAGAGTTCAAAGGCGAGAACAATAAAAATTGTCCATTGAAATTTTAAGTTCTGGTTAATTATCATTTGCTTGTTAAAGGAAAACATTATGACGAAAATTGGAAATTATATTAATATTAAGAAAAAAATTGTAAGATAGAAACAAATACTATAGAATTTAATTATATTGTCTTTATTTAGTGCACACCATTGCCCTCCCGTGGGACTTCTACAGTTTATGATTTCACAATGAAATGATCCCACTTATACCTAATATATGGAAAGATGGAAGATGATATATGGATTTGCATTTAAGTGTTTCACTGCACAAGTCATGTTTGACCGGAATGTATCAAAATTGTTACTACAAAACATGACTTTGTTGCAATTTGTTATTACAAAGAAATATGTATTGGTAATCAATTCATTATTTTAATTAATTAAATATAATTTAATTAATTACTTTAAAATAATTGTATATAATTATAAATATTAAAATAATTCATTTAATTAACCTATGATGAATTGCTTCACTAGATGACGCAGCCTGTGGTGCAAGCGGGTGCCAGAAACGTGCAGCAGACGTCGCAGCCGCTCCAACACCAGATTCCCGTAAGCCAAGAATTCTTTATATACTTACTTTTTTTTTTCTACTATGGCTCCACCGATACGTCAGTAATTTTGCCAATGACTTGGTACTTGGAGATTCACTAGGCTGAGGACATGAGAATAATAACCTAATATTTTAAACCAATTTCAGTTGCATACTTTTAAAGAGAGGAACAAAACATCTCATTAGTAATTAGTAACACACGGTTATTAGTAATGAGACATCAGCCATACACAACTAAAAAGAGAAAAAAAAGGACACGAACAAAAAAGGCGAAAAACAAAAATCTTATAAACCAGCTTAAAGCCGTATATTGTTAATTTTTATGCAGTCTAACTTTTGTGAGCGCATACGTTTAATTATTTGTCTGTCAAGTTATGATGATATTCCTTCATACTATTTTAGCAATTAAAATTTTAAGAAAAAAATATACATTTAAAAATGTAATTTCAGTTACAAAAAAATTAAGAACATTTTTACGTTCTACTATTGTGTATTTATTTTCGTGAGTTAAATATACGATTAAAGATTTTTTGCAATCGGTCCGAAGTAATGATGATGAAAGGCACGTTTTGTAATTGGTGTGGTGGTTGAATATATGAGGAAGCACTGGTCATGGTGACTGGGGATGTAAAATGTTTGTGAAACTGCCTGGTACAAGGGCATTGTTACCTGTTGTGGTTAAAAACAGCAAATACATTATAAAGTTTGTTTGTTCTGTTCCCCAGGTTCAGATTGTGAAGCCCATGCAGCCCGCAACGACACCAGCGGTGGGCGCGGTCCCGGCGGTGCACACAACGCCCGCAGCGCCCCCACCACCACAACAACCACAACAACAAACGCAGCAACAACAACAACAACAACCACAACCACAGCAACAGCAACCTCAAACGCAACCGCAACAACAGCCTCAACAACAACAACAGACGCCGCTGTTGCCGCGTAGGGGTCTGTCGCTTACGGTGAGTGGTTCTTCTGAGTTGCGGGTTTTAAGCCTTTTGGCTTTGTACTAAAACCCGCGACTTATCCAAGTGGATTTAGAATGATATTAAAATCTTCTGTACCCTTGAAGGTATCAGAATATTATACAGCGTGTCGTTACCATCGCGACAATAAATGAACACACGTCTAACGCTACTTGCCAATAATCATAAAAAAATATTAAAGTTAAAAAAATATTTTTCAAACAAACTAATTAAGTAAAAAAGAAACAAAATTTGTAACATCCTATACAACTCGCGCCACAGCGTCGCATTACAAGCCTCTCCTTCTAACAGTATGTTTTGTCTCTTTTAAATTCATTCAACCCATTCATATGTTTTGTGACCTTTACAAATGAACTTTACGTTACAGTTTTATACGTAAGGGTGTTCTAAAATTCTTTGTTTTGGAAAATTTAATAACTCTGTAAATATTAATGTTAAAAGAATGTAAATTTTTGATACAATTTTAAAAAGTTAACCTCTATATGTGTTTTCATTTATTGTCGCGTTGGTAACGACACGCTGTATACACAAAATTCAAGGTAAATTTTGGAATCTATTTGAAGGTAGACTGGCACTTACATTTTTTTAGTATAGATACATGTAACAAAATTGGATTTACTTATGCTGCGTGATAATGAGATGAAGATTGAGAAAAATTTCTTTTGCTACTCAGACACATTTCCAAATTTAGTGCCTATATTTACGCACAATTTATACTATCACTGATTACTTTCCACAGCGGGAGCAAATGCTGGAGGCACAGGACATGTTCAGAAACGCGAATCGGGTGACGAGGCCGGAGAAGGCGCTCATACTCGGCTTCATGGCTGGCTCCAGGGGTGAGACTTTTTATATGACTTCTAAATATATTGGAATTGTGTCCCACTGCTCTGCATAGTACTGTGGCGTAAGCACGCTGAAATCCTGAAAAATAAAAATACATTTTAATTCATAAAAATACATCTTATTTAAAATTTTAATTCTTTTTTTACTTTATATAACGTAGCTAAATATTAAAAAGCAAGTATTAAATAATTCCAATGTAAAAACATAAAATCAAAATTTTCATACAAAATAAATAAATTATAATATTGAGAAATTCAACTAAGAAAATTGCACTCACCTATCGATGCACCTGAACCATCCATTGTGTTGCGTCCACGCAGCGCCCGAATGCAAACCAATAACGAGGCGGAGTCAGTCAGAACTTACATTCAGACGCGAAGCCCGTGCCGCTCAGTGTGTCCGCAGATCATCTATTCCGCGCGCATATTGTTGGTGTGAATTACGTACATAAACTGTGTTATTTATAGTGAATAAAATTTAGGACAATAGTAAATAGTTTGTGTTGTGATAACAAAAATTTAAGTACTTATTGTGAAACGTTAATTAAAACACTAGTATTCGTGTATCTCGTGTTGTTTTTTATTTACATCTTACTTTTACTTCAAAAACTATAAACATTTAAATTATAGGACCATCTGTCCTATAGTACATATAGGGACTTTGCCCACCACTTTGACTTTTACAGTTTATTATTTTTTGTAATATAAAATTATTTTTCAATGTAATTATCCCACTTATACCTAAGATATGGAAAGATTTGCTGCTGTAGGGCAGTCAATTGAGATGAAAATGCTTGGTAGATATTTGGTAACTTATAAAAAGACCTGTGTGCTTCCTATGATGTCGGTTTATTATTCGTAGTCAAATATTACGACAATCGTATTAATGGCTAAATTAAATAATAATAATCTTATATCCACACAAAACACAGTATTTGTTAACCAGGCCATGTAGTTAAAATAGATCCGATCCATCCTAACGGAGCACCTCCTCTCCGCAGACAACCCGTGCCCGAACCTCGGCAACATAGTGACCATCAAGCTGTCGGAGAACATCGAGAACGTGCTGCAGACGGACGACACGTACCTGACGATGCTGTCCGAGATGCACTTCCAGATGAACTACAACAACGGCCAGTGGACGCGGCTCAAGAAGTACCGCCACATCGACGGCATGGTGCCGCAGAAGATACCGCCCGGCTCCACCGTCATCTCGGCCAGCAACCAGCAGCCCGTCGTCTCCATCGCCAACCAGACGGTCAGCTAAGGGCCTGTCGCCTGTCGCCTGTCGCCCGTCACCTGTCACCTGTCATCGGCCGTTTGACTCGTCAGGTCGGCTAAGAGCCCGTCACCTGTCACGAGGTGACAGAGATCCCGCTACGGTGTCTCCCGAAGTGCCGTTGGGACCTGTCACCTGTCACATGTCGCTTTTTACTTGTCACTTCGACCGCCCGTCAGGCTCGGTGTGTTCTATTGTGATATTCGTATGGTCTACGCCACGTTGCCTTCTGCTAGCTTTCTTATATCGTATTATTCGGTCTGGATATCGCTTTCGCGGCTTCGCCTGACGAAAATGCGAAATGTGTCCCGCGACATTCAAATTCAAATGTGATATCGTCGCGAGTTGTTATAGTTCGCCGCCAGACCGTCGAGTGCTTCAAATTAAAGAGTCTGTCAATTTTTACATTTTCTATTTTACGCAGATACGATATGTTTCTTATACAGTTCTCTCAATTATATTTAGGTATTATTTTCGATTTGCTCCAGTTTCACCTGCGATCTTGACAGCTGTCAAGTTAGCTGTCATAAGCTTGGACTATCATTGTGACTGATGTCATAATGTCTTAACACTTACTATTACTAGCCACTACTACTTCGAATTCGACTACTAAGTTTTAGTTTTGTTATCTTTTTATATAATTGCTGATTTGACGCGGTCTGACAAGCGGTGGGACTTGACTTTAAGGGAGATGAGAGTGGGTGTAAGGTGTTTACCTTCTCTTATGCTGTCGTCTCTACCCTGTATGGGGTGACGGAGATTCGTAATGGTTGGTCTCATGCGTTTCTATCACTACCCCATCATTTCCATCGGGTGTCTTTCTAAGTGCCAAAGTGCCAAGCGCGCGCCGGAAGAGGGCGCGCGGAATACGTAACTTGTGTTGTATCGATTAAATTCACGTTTAGTTAGGGGAGAGCGCGTTAGACTAAATCGCGTGGAGCTAAACGTACGCTAGTTAAAATAGAAGCTAAACGGCCGCACTCAGAGATGTCGATTAGTGAACGGAGTTAATGTCGAAAAGATACTTTCAAACACACGTTACTATGACTTCCGTTTACAAGTAAGCTATTTCAGTTCCACTAAAAGATTCCGGAATTATGTTATATATTTTGGTAAAGCAAAATTAATTGTTGAGTGATTAATTGATGACTCTGATTGCGGTCGCTGATCTGTTTAACAGAGCGAGGCCGGATTGTGACCTCTATTACGAGGGTCGTAAGAATTATAATTTGTTTAAGGAGCTCAGGTGATTTTTTGAGGTCACGTTAGTTTTTATTTGGGCCCCTTTGTACCCAATGTGATAGTTAAAGAGTATATATCTCTGTGGAGGTTTCAATTCGGCCTCCCTTTCTTTCACTTAAATTTTTATATTATAACGTATATAGTCTCGCCGAAGACACATTAATGTGTCGTCTGACACCGGCCAATGTTGCAAGTCTCTGCGGCATCGATTTCGTTTCGTGCGATAAAGTGAAGGGAACACTGTCGATATCGATAAAACACGATCTGAAGATTGGATAAATATACCGATGAAGGTTAAAAAACGATGGAAGCTATTCGCTTGACGTTCAGGCGCGGATCTTCATATACGAAATCTGGGGAGGATCGGATTTATGTTTCTCGAAGTCACAATATTTATTTTGGATATTTATGATAAAAATAAAAAAAATTAAATGATTGCCGATAGAAGTGAAAATCTGATACTATGTAATAGCGACGGTTTTTATATTGTACTTTCAAAATAATCGAAGTAAAAATAAGTTTGTAAGTAAAAATTATTAAATTCAATGCGGGTTTGATCATATATCGGCATTCAGTGAGAAAATTGTACACATTTTTGTAACGTTCATTTATTAGTCGAAACGTATGACGGGCTGCAGAAGTCCATTAGTCAATATAAATGCAACTTAATAAACTAGTAGTATACAATTATAATGTTTAAACAAAGTATTTGTGTAGATACCCGTAAAGTAACAGCCTATACATGTCCCACTGCTGGGCATAGGCCTCCTCTAGACAGAGGGTATCAGGGCATAGTCCACTACGCGGCCCCACTGCGGATTGGCGGACTTCACATATCTTCGAAATATATTTTTTTTTGTTATTATTTCGATAATATGCAGGTCACGATGTTTTCCTTCAACGCTGGGCACGTGATAAGCCAGCACTTAAATAAAAACTTCATTGATGCCAGCACCGGGAATCGAACCCAGGTTGCTCGAGTATATTGAATTAACGGCGAGTGCCTGGACACTGAGCTATCACGTCTCCGTGTTAGCATTTATCTACAAAAATAAACATTTTAAGTTTTATCTTGAGCACATACAGCACAAACTATAAAGATAAAATGACAATAATTTTGTGTTCATGCAATAAACACAATTTTAATGTTATTATTGCACGCCGAATGCGTTTTATTTATAGCTACATATATAAATATATATTATTAACAGTTACGTGACCTTGAAGTTTACCTTCAATAAAGTTTACTGTATTTTTTACCAAACTGTTGTTATTAGTTCATGATAGAAAAATGTAAGTTAATAGAACAATGTTTAGTTACGAAAGAAATATATTCAGCTTTGGAGGGGGTCATACCCTCCCTCTAGATCCGCGCCTGACGTTAATCGATATCGATTTTAGGTTTCAGTGCACATCACTAGCGACGACGGCCGGCGGAATCGACCAAGAAGTATTTATATCGTAACTCACTGGTGATATTCGATAAATGAATTATAATTAATGTTGAAACTGAAACGCTTTAAGTGTCACGCGACACCACTGCGACCAATGCGCTATTGAAAGTATAATTATTACGGTGTTATAAATTGCACGTCATTGCCACCATGTTTTTGTTACTGTTTGGTTATCTCCAATGCGAGTTTGTCGCAACATATGAATGGAGCATTAGTTATTTTTCCGTTCCTATGACAGTTTGGAACGTTCTCGAACCGTGTATATAATCTAATGATTATGCCTCTGTTTTATAACATTACTTTTGGTCGTTTTCATTTTAGAGGTAACATTTATAATTACAGCGGCGTCAACCGAAACGAGGTTTGAAGATTTAAAGTGTGAAAGGGATAAGACCAGTCTGCTTATCTCTTTCCTTCGATGTTAAGGTGGCGTTAGGGAGTGTTGTGGCGGCTGTAAATTGAGCCTTATTTCTACGCGGGAAAGCCGCTTTTGGTTCGCGCTGGTCGGTCGCCAACCGGAATTGTACGGGAGTGCGATCTCTTGCGCTATTAAGTTTATCTCTGGTTGTTCGTCGCCTAACAGTTGCTATGGCAACCGCAGAGGACACCCTGTACATCAAATGAGGGACTATACATCTTGTTTTTTTTTGTCTATCGGATAACTTCGCACAAAGCTTAAATGCAAATTTTCGTCAGTCAATCATCAGCTCACAATTGGTGTCGTAGGAAAACGCGGCGCTGCGGGGTGCGGGGGATAATATTGGCCTCTCGTTCCCGCCGCGACTAGGATTGCTTCCGTCTAGCTCACTCTACAGCGTGTCTTTACCATCGCGACAATAAATGAACGCACGTCTAACGCTACTTGCCAATAATCATAAAAAAATATTAACGTTAAACAAAATCCATAATTAAAAAAAGATATTTTTCAAACAAACTAATTAAGTAAGAAAGAAACAAAATTTGTATCATCCTATACAACTCGCGCCACACCGTCACGTTATAAGCCTCTCCTTCTAACAGTATGTTTTGTCTCTTTTAAATTCATTCAACCCATTCATATGCTTTGTGACCTTTACAAATGAACTTTACGTTACAGCTTTATACGTAAGGTGTTCTAAAATTCTTTGTTTTGGAAAATGTTATAACCCTGTAAATATTGATGTTTAAAGAATTTAAATGTTTAATATAATTTTAAAAAGTTATCCTCTACATGTGTTTTCATTAATTGTCGCGGTGGTAATGACACGCTGTATACTGGTGTACAGTCGCGACCGGCATCGTTGTTCGGGTTTTGTGAGTTTTTTTAAAGACAGTTTTTACGCCCGACGGTACGTGACTTCACTGCGGTACATTCAAGTTTTGTGCGAAGTTACTTATGCAACGCAGGCGACAATCAAACAAGATTGAGAAAGTACATATTTTCTGTTTTGTCCGTACATTGTAATTTTTATTCGGTATAGTCGAGTTGTTTTTACGGTGACTCCATTACGAAACATTTCGTTTATGCCACTGTACGGATTTTATCGCTTTTTGTTCTGTGTCTTGAAAAGTTTTAAAAGAACTAGTGTTTGACGTGTTGATGTTGCTGATGACCCTCCATTGCTTGTGATCTTATTAATTTTCTAGTTTAAATGATAAAACCCGTAAGTGGCGCAAAGATTTCCAGGAAAGTCGAAACATCCTGTAAGTTTGGCACATTCTCCGTATCACTCATCCTCCGTTTATAGATCTTGTGTCTCTTTCCGTGTGCCGAACTACTTGCGAATTCGACGCAGTCGCTAACTACTGTTTGAGAACCGGACATAAGAAGCGTTGCTGGATTTATTCCGATGCGATTGTGATTTGAAGGATTTTTTTTTATTTACGAAGAAATCACAATAATTCACTTCGCGGATGATACGAGAGAGATTTAGTTGTTTTATGATCGGTTTGACAATGTCTAAGTTTTGTACCCTATCCAAGTGTCAATATTTATGACTGTACGTTCGTTGGAGAGATTTTTAAGTTTTTTTTTCTTTCAATTTAAGTCACCAGCGACAAGAGAGAGCGTGTTGTCTATGTTCTAGTATTTACTTTAGTGATTTACGTTTGTTGTACGATGTTTTTCTATAGATATTTAATATTCACCGTGTATATAGTAGATAGTACAAAAATATTAAACGAGAAACAGAGCATTATGATGACTGGTTTGTTCATTATTCCTCTCTCCTTTACTCCCCTTTCGGGCTCCCAAAGTGGAAATTTGCTCTCATACGGGCTTAGAGTTCGACGAAGCTTCACTCAGAACTG